CCCCTGCCCGCGTTGCGGTTAAACAGCAAGGAGATGTTGGCCAGTGACTTCGATAGCCACAGTGTGGCCTCCAACCAGGCCTCCATCACCAGCGTCAATTCGTTGGCCAGTTTGCTTCGCGAGAAGATGCAGGTGAGTGTGGCCGTTTGATAGTCAAAAGTTCAAAGGTCAATTTGTAATAACAACTACCATGTTTATCTACCAAGGCCTTCCCACAGCTGATAAGAAAAAAGAAGCGGGAGACAAAGGACTACAAAATCAAGATATTCGTCATCATAATGTTTTTCATGATCATATTTCTGGTAAGCAGGTTAAAAATCAGTTCCAGCTATTTGTTCACTCAATCATCATTCACCCAGTGAATTCAGATCACTAGCATAATGAGTGATTAGCACCAGTCGGAGATCATAAACATAAGAGTGTTTTTCAATAGTAAACTTTATATTAGTTTCAAGAGACGGAAACCAATGGAAGAACTTCTAGTACAAATAAGACGACGACTTAATATTTTCGTGGCTGATTTAAGCTTGTCACAGCATACTGAAGGCATTGAACTGGCTTTGCAAGATACAAGTTTTTTTTTCATTTAGATAGTAATTTCAACTCATGTCCAAATGGGTTTTATGGGCTCTCAAAAATGTAATTTGATGATTTAAGCTCCCTTTTATACAGTTTATCACATCGCTTTTAATTTTGTTTGACACTTTGACAAGGCTTTTACCCAAAATCACATGGCATAAACGAACTTTATGTTCAGATATAGTTATCTATTGGGAAATTCCTTTAAAGTTCATTCATAGTTTATTTTTGCGGGGATCCTGGTAAGAAATAAATAAAATTAAAAATAATTCTGTTTTTCTTTGTTAAGACATTAGCGTATTATACATCAGAAAGTAATCGTTTACAACTTGTAACCAACAAATCTATCTAAGTTATATTATTGGAATAAATACATAACAAAATAATTATTTTTTAATCACTGGGCTGAATGCGATATCTAAGATATAAGATTAAACAGCCACAATAGAATTTTTCTTATTTTATATATTTTCTTTAGTGGTATTAAGCAAATTCTAAAACGAAAATAAATTATATATAATATTACAGTACTTAAATACCTCACTCAGTTTTTTCATAAGGTATATTAATATTAAGAAATGGCTAAGAGAATTTTTTATAATTAGGTAAGGTAAAAAGTACCATATAATATAACGTAGGTGTAAGTATATAGATACTTCCCAATAAATCTTGGGTGATAAAGCATCTTCACTCAAATATATGAACCTCCCAGAAACCACTTTAGTACCTTAACACCTCAGCTTTTTAATGAGCTATATAAATAGTTAAGGTTTTAGTTAATTGTACTCCATACGTATTATATATTACATGAGTTTTTAAATATTGGGTATAGCAAATTTCTCAATAAGATGCCTATTAAATTAAATGAAATTATCAAAATAAAACTTATGTGGCTTAAAAATAGGGCCTTAGTCTACAGGTGTAAGTAGGTGTAAGTATCTATAGACTGGAAAGTGTTGGGTTGTTTAGCAGCTAATTCATTTAAATATGTTCTTTTTATAGATATCACTGGCTTATTTAAAACCCCCTCTTGCAGATTGGCTACGCCTATGTGGCCTACCACCAGCAGGTGCTGACGAAGAGCTACTTCCAGAAGATCAAGTTCAACTCGCACGACCGCATCTTCCGCATCCTGAGCCACGAGGACAAGGAGGTGATCTCGGGTCAGCTGGGCACCACGCTGGGCTTCGACACGGCACCGTTCCACTGCCTGGAGGACCATCGGCGCCGTGATGGCAGCGTGTGCATCGAGTGGAACGGGATAGCCCGGCTGCATCTTAATTTCGAGGACAAGGGCGTCTTCAGGTGCTACACGCTGCAGTGGCAGGCCCTGACGCCGGGCCTGCTGCCCACCGATTGCTACGAACTGAAGCGCGACAATGGCCTGTGGTTCGGCGGCGGGGTCACCAAGGGTCAGGAATGGTCCCTCAGCTATGCGAACTTCGACTTTGCGCCGTACGCCTCGGGCGACAGCAAGATCCATCAGTTTGGCAACGGGGTGAAGCGGTACTTCATCAACTCGATTGGCGTGGCCATGCAGGTCAGTGAGCGGACGCCACTGCAGCTGGGTGTCAACCGGACGGAGAATCGCTTCTGCCTGCGGGCGGCCAACGATGAGTTCACCTTCGTGAACCATTTGACCCCGCTGCCGCAGTTGGACTACCGCATTTGCACCACCGAGGACATGCGCAGCCTGCACATGCTGATGACCCAGCAGAGCCTGTGGGATGGCCTCAAGGAGCAGGAGTTCAAGGTGCTGCACTCGCTGCTGGAGGAGCCCGTGTGGCGGATACCCCATGCCGAGACACCCGAATCGCTCAACGAAACGGCCATCTGTGACTACTCGGAGAGTGCCATTGCCATGGGTCTGGGCCACATACTGATCAATGAGTTCTGGCAGGAGAATATCGGTGACTTTACGGTGGACAAGGCCCGGTTTCCCACCCTCAAGGACACCATCGATGTGCTGCGCCGGCGGGGCTTCAAAGTGGTCCTCACCATCCAGCCCTTCATCAGCACGGACAGTGCCAACTTCAAGGATGCTGTGCGGCGCAAGCTCTTGATCTACGAAAGGCACTCGGAGCGCAGCATTCCCGCCTTGACCAGGTACAAGAGCAGCTCCAGTGCGGGTGTCCTGGACATCACGAACAATGCCTCGGTGCCCTGGCTGCTGGAGAAGCTGCAGCGCCTCAAGGAGGAGTACGGGGTGCAGAGTTTCTACCTAGACTTGGGCACGGGCTACAATCTACCGCACTACTACCAGTGCCGGGAGACTTTGGACAATCCGGATACCTATGCCAGGTTGTTCACGGCCAGCTTGGAGGGTGCCGGCTTGATGGCCGTGTCCACGGCCAGCGTGGTGCCCAAGCCGCCCACTTTCCTCAGCACTCCGCCGGCGAATGCCACGTGGGAGGGTTTGCGCGAAACGCTGGGAGCTGTGCTCAACTATGGCGTCATTGGCTATCCCTTTGTGCTGCCCGGCGTGATTGGCGGCGACTATCTGCTGCAGCGGCCACTCTCCAAAATGGTCTCCTTCTATGCGATGGCCCAGCCACCGCTGCCCGATCCGGAGCTCTTCATTCGCTGGCTCCAGCTGGCCACCTTCATGCCGGCCATGCAGTTCAGCCACCTGCCGTCCGAGTACCGCAGCGACCTGGTCACCCGCGTGGCCCAGGAGCTGAAGGAGGTGCGCCAGACGGTTGTGATCGCCCTGCTCAAGAAGTACCTCAGTCCCTCCATGAACGAGGGCCTGCCGCTGGTCCGGCCGCTCTGGATGATGGACCCCCACGACCCCGCCTGCCTCATCGTCAGCGACGAGTTCTCCGTCGGCGAGGAGCTCATCGTGGCGCCCATCCTCCATGCTGGACGCGAGGAGCGAGAGGGTGAGTCTGAGTCACTATTTTCAACCAGGAACCGTACTCCATAACTTTTCTTACAGACATCCGATTTTGAAATGGTTTATTTGTAACAGATTATAGTCTAAAAATCTGCATTCAAAAGTTGTTTTGTAATTTCAGGTCGATTTTTTGTCATTTTAATGATGTTACCCCTTTCGAAATTTTCGAAAAATGGCTTTGCTGAAAAGTGACCAAAAACCTGCAGTTTTAATTTCATAACTTTTCTTACAGACATCCGATTTTGAAATGGTTTATTTGTAAGAGTTTATAGTTTAATTCTCTAAAAATCTGCATTCAAAAGTTGTTTTGTAATTTCAGGTCGATTTTTTGTCATTTTAATGATGTTACCCTTTTCAAAATTTTCGAAAAATGGCTTTGCTGAAAAGTGACCAAAAACCTGCAGTTTTAATTTCATTACTTTTCTTTTAGGCATCCGATTTTGAAATGGTTTATTTGTAACAGATTATAGTTAAATTCTCTAAAAATCTGCATTCAAAAGTAATTTTGTTATTTCTGGTCGATTTTTTGTCATTTTAATGATGTTACCCCTTTCAAAATTTTCGAAAAATGGCTTTGCTGAAAAGTGACCAAAAACCTGCAGTTTTAATTTCATAACTTTTTTTACAGACATCCGATTTTGAAATGGTTTATTTGTAAGAGTTTATAGTTTAATTCTCTAAAAATCTGCATTCAAAAGTTGTTTTGTAATTTCAGGTCGATTTTTTGTCATTTTAATGATGTTACCCCTTTCAAAATTTTCGAAAAATGGCTTTGCTGAAAAGTGACCAATAACCTGCAGTTTTAAATCCATAACTTTTCTTACAGACATCCGATTTTGAGATGGTTTATTTGTAAAATATTTTGGTTAATTTTCAATCAATTTGCACTGAAATCTAGCTTATGGGACAGACCAGACAATATGTGCCAATCCAATAAAACACTATTAGACTTGGTTAATTGTGTATTAAACATTGTTTCGTCTTCCGTTTTTAGTTTATCTGCCGCAGGGCGTTTGGAAGGACGGCATCGATGGATCGCTGCGAAAGGGAAGTCGCTGGATGCACGGGTACCGGGTGCCCAAGGACAAGATCGCCTACTTTCGCAAGATGCCGGACAACACTCGGTTCTAGGAGTGCTCGATGCACTCCACCTGGTTCACCTGGTCCACCTGGTCCACCTGATCCTCATCAACCACCAGTCATCCATTCTCCCACCCATGTGATATGATCAAAAGAGAGCCGGCAGTTCCGCATACATCTATCTGTATCTGTATTGAGTAACCTAAATACTAAATACTAAATATTAAACACTAAACTTTTAAACACTATATATATATCGATAAGCCCGCGATCGTAATACATAAGATGCCTTATCGCTAGCTGCTTAAGCACTATTATTATATCCTTAGCGTATGTAATTTCCACTTTTTTTTTGTTTGTTTGTTTGTTTGTGCGTATGATTAGTTATGTTAAGTACATCTGGGATGATCGCTTACTCGCTGAATAAATATGTGTATGTTCCAATTACAAAGTACTGTACCGGTACTGTCAATAAATAGGGGTATGGTTGTATCTGCGTGCTACTTGGTCCTGCAGTCGGGCAGCGAGGATCCGCAGGGCTCCGTTTCCGGGGGCTTTGGCAGCAGGTCGCATTCCGCATCGGCCACGACCACGTCGTGCTGGTCCAGGCACACCACGGATCGCCGGCGGAGTGGCGGCGCCGCTGAGGAGGAGCCCGCCGGACGACAGGTGAGGGGACAGAACTGCCAGGGACCTGGCCACCAGTGGGCAGGACACGGCTGTTCGCCACATCCGCGCGACTGCCGCAGCGGTCTCTTATTCTTGGCATGCGTCCAGCAGGGCAGCGTATCAGCCAGTCCTGAAATAAATTTAATTATATTTTAATTACTCCCAATTTAAGTTGAAGCTTAGGCACTCACCCTTGCCGTTCTCCTGGCAGATGGGCTCCCGGTGCTGGACCCCGCCGCCACAGCTGGCGGAGCACGAGGTCCAGTTGCTCAGCCGCCACAGGAACTGCCTGCCGGCACTCACATTCAGCGCGGGCAGCGTGAACTCGTAGAAAATGCCAGCGTTGCTCTCATTGCCGCGCACAATCGCCTGGAAAAGCAAAGGGAAATTAGTGGAAATTCTCAGGACTAAATAATATTTACTTTTCATTCTGAAAAGGGCAGATAAATAAAAATAAACCATAGTTTCTTTGTTCAAATAGATAAAAATATTTTGCTATCGTCCGGGAAAATTAAAGGAATATTATTGCAAGCTCCTACAGAAAAAATAATTTTGTTATTTAATAATCAGTCTCTTTTATTAATTATAATAAAAGTTATTTATTTTTTTTTAAATATGATGAACCAACAAGAAATGAAACAAATTTCGGCAAGCCGAAGTTTATATACCCTTGCAGCTATTGCAAAATTAATATAACAAATTTATATAGATTTTTATTCATATTAAGCAGTAAAGCTATGATGATACAAAGTTTATCTGTTTAAATATATGTAAGTAAGTACTTGTATGTTTTATTTCGATTAAAAAAAAAGACAAATAATCTTAGCAGGTCTTTAGAATTGATTGTCTGCAATTAAAGATGTAGTGTTTGAGGTATGGCAAAGGGAGTAGTGTATAACATGTTTGGGTAAAAGTTCCACTTACATATAGCGATATGGGATGCTGGATGGGCTGAGGTATTGTGATGGTCTCCTGCTCGTCGACGCGATCGTAGAGGCTCTCGGCGCCGGCGATCTCGAACTCGCCGGGCATCGAGATGAGGCTGTCCCCGTTCAGGTAGAAGCGGTCGCCCTGGGCCGTGGCCACGGCAAGGAAGTGCGGCGAGTTGGCCTGCTCCCGGACGAGGATGTGCCGGGCCCGGGCCGGAATGGTGACGATCTCCACGTAGGCGCCGTCCTTGGCCGCAAACGCGTCCGCGTAGGTGTCCCTCACCGGCTGGCACTGATCGCCAGCACCGCCGCAGACACCGCACCGATCGTCCTGCAGCTCCGAGTCGACGAGCCAATCGCAACCAACTTTCTGAACGAAACGCGATCGGGCTCAGGGCTCAGTTATCGATTGAATGGTATGTGGGGATACCCTACCTTGCAGATGCCGTCGATGCACATGTTGTTCGTGCCCAGCGTGCACGGCGTCCCGTCCAGCACCGTGGAGCCCCAGTTTGCGATTATCGTGTCGTCCACGTCGCTGCAGAACAGCCGGCAGGGATTGTCTAAGGGAAAGCAATATATAACATAAAAAATATTATATTATATTTGTCTAATGTATATACCTAATATTTATAGTCTAGAATAACTTAAAAGTCAACTAAAAATCTATTTTAGTTCAATTTTAATATTATTGTTTAGGTATGCAAATCAAAAGATATGATAAACTAGAATTTATTATCTGGGGCAATATATATATATTTATTTATAGGCAAGTGGTGTAGCCAATAAGCAAATATACATAAATAAAGTGATTTTACAAATATGATTTTTTTAAAACCATTTATAGCCTCTAAAGTTAAGATCATCTTAAATAAAAATCTATTTTATTTCATTTCCACTTCTTTCAAATGGCTTAGACACGAATATCAATTGTTAATAGCAATGGATATATTATACTGTGATTTTATATTTATATTTATTTATGTTTTTAAAACTTTTTACTTTATACAGATCCAAGAAAATTCCGAGAAAAATTGGAAATTAAACAGAATCTACTAGACCGCAATGACTGACTCTTGTGGTTTTAATCATTTCTTTATCTTTAGCAGAACAATAATATATATATATATATATATATATAGATATATATATATATTTATTTATGTATATTTATTTATGTATATATATATATATATATATTTAAGGGATTCTACAAGATATAAATCGATGGGCAGTGACTCACTCTTGTCGAAGAAGGGCAGCCACTTGTAGGTGGCCCCCTGGTAGCTGACGTTATCGAAGCGGGCGCACTGCTGCGCCCGGAAGCTGGGCTCCTCCGCCGGACAGGGCCGCTTGCGGCAGATCTTGTACCGCTTGCGCTCGCCGATGCAGAAGACACCGCCGTTGGCGGGCACCGGGCTGTCGCACTCGCGCTGCTGGGTGGACACCCCGCCGCCGCAGCTGCGCGAGCACTCGCTCCACTCGCTCCAGTCGCCCCAGCCGCCGTTGACCGCCGCCAGCTCCTCGCGGCGCACACACTTGCCGTTCTGGCACCACTTGTTTCGGCCGCACAGCGTGCCGGGGGCGGTGGGCCGCATGTGGGTCACGCACTCCCCGTTGACCTTGCACCACAGCGTCGAGCAGAACTCGTGGGGGGCGGAGCAGGCGCCCACCTCGCTGTCGGTGGTCAGGTTGAACTGCAGCCGGCACTGGCCCCGCGCATTGTACCGCATCCCCGGCAGCTCGCCCGTGTAGTTGTACTCGTCCAGCGGCGTCGGCGGATCGTCCAGGCACTCGCCCAATCCTTGGCTGAAATTTCGGACATTCGGTTATTCTATGTATGTGGTATAAAATAAATATCAATTCCCTCTGGTCTCTCTTTTTCCCGGCCATCCCGTACTTTAATTTTTATTATATTTGTTTAGACAAACGAAAAAAAATTCAAAGGTCGAGTACTCGCAAAATCCATAACTAAATATTAGAGGATTTATTTATTTTTTGCTTTTATTTTAAATTTAAAGGAGAGTTTCAAAGAAGGGAGATTTAAATAAATATTTTAAAGCCTGACTAAATTTTAGTATTTTGCTATGTTTTATGATAAAATATGAAATATATTATTCTATATGATCTATATTACTTATTGAAGGGATTCTTAGCAAAACGGACTTTGTTTATTTTTGAACAATTTTAAGCAATTTTAGTTTTTATAATAAAAATTGACATCAATTTATTTTTTTTTTGAGAAAAAAAAGACAAATGAGTATAGGTGTTGTTGTATCCTGGCAACATCAGTGGCTTTTGAATGGCAAAGAAATGTGCAAACATACAGTTTATATTATCTATATGGTATACTTACTCCAGGAAGTGCGTGATGTACTTGCGGCTGCAGTTCGACCAGCAAACCTGCAGGGTGTCCGCCCCAAAAGTGGGCGTCATGATGTGGACAATGGGACCCACCCGCGGATGGCAGCCAATCTTGGCAGTGTCGTGGAACATCCCGAAGCTGTGGGTTGAATATTGCACTTAATAACAAAATAACAGTACAAAACAATGTTGCAAATTGTCGTTGAGGAAATCCCCACCCACTCGCCACTCCAAAACCTGATTAATTGAATAGAATTAATAGCCAATTCGGAGCAAATCGCATGTACACAAGCAGATACATCCGATTAAAAGCATATAAACAAGTACCCGAGTGTCTGAGTGTTTGAATATCTAAGTACCTGTGGCACAGCAACAGCAACAGCAATAGCAACAAAAACCAAAACCAAAACCAAAACAAACCACCTGTTGTTGCCGCCCAGGGAGATTCCGATTCCGGTCGGCTTACACAACCCATCGCCGCTATATCTTTATATCTTGGCCTATCGGAGGGATCGCAGCTGAAGAGGGGGCGCTGAGTCAATCGCGGACCGAGCACGCTAGACTGACTGACGGCCACTGGGCTGCACTCGAAAAAAATGGGTGGTAGAAGTGGGGCAAAGGAAAAAAAAAACATCTTTTCCGGCGTCAACATCAAATACACAAAATTAAATTTCAAAAACAACAAAGTTACCTAAAACTTTATGTTAAATAAAGCATTTTTTTTATTTTTGTTAATCTAAAAAATGTTATCAAAAGACTTTTAATTGAAATAATCAGGATATATATATATATATTTAATTAATTATTTAAAAAAATTCTATGATATTAAAAAAAGAGTAAAATAAAAAAGACTTTAATTTTGAATTTGTCAAATTCGCATTAAATTGAAAGGACGAATTTAACACATTAAATTAAGCAAATCACTTTTTAAGAATTGATGATTTAAGAAGATCTATGTGCTATATATGAGAACTGAAATATTTCTCAATTGTTTCCTAATTTTCTCACTGTGTGGACCGGCACAGAAGGCGGATCACAGCCAGCCACTTGGAAACTTGAAAACTTGGCAACTTGGCAACTTGGCACGAACATCGAACGATCCGATCCATTCCATTTCGATCCGATTCATTACGATCGGATCCATTCCGATCCAAATCCGCAGCTCCCCCGATAGCCAGCAAAAACCGGACCCGGCTGTCGAATGGGTGTGAGTTGGATTGAGTTGGAATGAGTCGGAGTGTCTGGGTGTGCCGATGCTGTGATCACTGTGACTCACTCGGGTTCGGGTAATTGCCGGTAATAGATCATTCTCCCTTTAAAATATTGTGCTAGGGTCAATGGAGATGGGTTGTGGGCAATTATACAATTTAAGTTGAGAGCTACTTTTTTTCCCCTATCATTTAACTATTTAAGGTTCATAGGTTAGTTGAAAAGTCTATTCCGCCATTGGTGTAATTTGTAAACATTTTACTTAAATATGAAAACACATATTGGTATCAAAGAGTTACAAATACAAAAACATACTCTTTCTGTAATTATTTTAAAATACTTAACTTTTTCTGTTTGTAAATAAAATAAAAAGTTTGCAATTCTTCTTAAAAAAAAGGAATTCACTATTTAATCTGATCAGAAAAAGTAAGAGTTTTCATAAAATCGCAGTTGTATGTTATAATTTTTGTACCTTTGAAAAATATATATATTTTTTTTTTAATATAAATGGTAATTAGCGCACTGCTACCTAAGATCTAGTCTAATCGATTACATAGAAAATAAATTATAACAGCAACAAATAGACTATATTTTATATGGCATACAACCTAATGAACTGATGAAATAAATCATTTATATGTTTTGCAAATAGCAACTCGTCTTTTCGTAACATGTTTTAATAGGAATATAGTTTGTAAAATGTGAGATTACAAAAATCAAATGGAATTTGACCAAGTTGTATTGTATTTGATTTAATTGAAACAGTGTCGCCGTGATCGCAGTGACTGGGCGATCATCTCCGCTGGCGTTTTGGTGTCTCGTTCGACTAATTGAGTTTGAATCGAGCAGGAAGCCGGGCCACCGAGAGGTGATCTCAATCTCCATCTCAATCTCAATCTTGATCTCAGTATGCAACTATCGACTGTAAAACCATCAACTGGCAGGTGGAACTGCAATGGAAAGTGGGCGTGCAACGCAGGCGATCATTGTCACAGAAAGGCAAACGCAGGTGTCAAAGCGTCCGTCGCGTCCACTTAGCCGCCTCAGTGGAAACGTGAAAATCGTGGTCGTAGTCGTAGTCGTGGTCTTGGTCTTGGTTGTATTTCGTTCGATTCATTCATTAAATTGGGCTGGCCATAAATCTTGTCTTGGGGATGGGGATCGATTGGGCATGGGGCATGCGTTGGCCAACGTCTGGCGCCGCAGGGGGCAATGCAAATCGCTGCCGGCTACCTGTCTAGCTCACCTGGCTAAATACTTTGTTTTATTATTTTTTATTATTTTTTTAAAGATCAACTGTGAACAGTACACTGGCTCAGCTTAAAGGGAAATCATTCTTTACATTAAATTGCATCAAAACATATATGTATTTAAATAATACAAACAGTAACCTCATTCAATTGCATAAACTTATCTTTAAAACAACCTGCATTTGCTTAATCAAATATGTTTAAAAATGTTACTATTGGAAATGATTTTTTACATTTGGTTATTAAAACATTAAGACCAATTTAAAATATGTGCTATAGTTTATTAAAGAATTTATCTTTTAAACAGGAATTTAAGCCTATTTTTTATGAAACTAATTTTTTTGTTTTAGGTATTTACTGTACCTTCTTAAAGATACATTTCTCTCAATTGTCCTATTATTGAATTTGCAGATACCAATGAAAACACAGCCATTAAAACTTGAAAATATTTTTGGAATTTCCAAAAAAAGCTATTGCTTTCCTAATCATGTTTAATCATATGAAAAAACACCACAGTAGCATATATTTCGGTAAGGGACTCACTTGTGACCCAATTCGTGGGTGATCGTGTGGGAGAGCATAATGCCATTGTCCTCGTTGACGCTGCAGGATTGCTTCGGCTTGCACATGCCACCCACGTTGGCCAGGCCGAGTGTCCTGCGGATGAATCCGATCGGGAGATTATAGCTTTGGAACCCCCACATCCACCTCTTCCACAAGGACTTACATGCAGTTGTTGGCGCAGATGTTCTTCCGCGTGATGAGGATGGCCACGTCATGGTGGTGCGGATCCTTTTCGCTGCCCTTGTTCAACTTGTGCTGCCAGCTTTGAAAAGTAAAAAAAAACAGGGTATTTTCAAGGATTAGTCTCTTTTTCTTCATAAAATATATGTGATTTTTCTTGAACTTATTTTAGGGGATTTCTTAAACCTTTTCACCGGGACTGAAAATATTGGTTAATAATGTTCTGAATAAAAAAATTACTAAGATTTAAAACAAAATAAAATTACCATTTCCATATAGTATTTTCAAATTTCCGTTTGTTTATAATAATTGTTTTTAAAAAGTATTTATACTAAATACAACATTTTTACGTGATCAAAATAAAAAAACCTTTCAATTTTACAAAAAATTGTAGGGGTTACATTATTTTATATTGAATTAATACTTATACTTTAATACTTTCTGTAGACATATTTATTAATACTTAACTTTTAGTTTATATGTACATGTACATTACAAATTTTTCAGATAATCCATTTTTGGCTAGCAAAGGCTTACATTAATGGAGGCTAGGCTACTATTTTGCAGACCCACCTGCAGAACCGATCCAAGTTCTTCTGCGCATTCTGGGTGAGATTCAGCTGGAGCTGGGACTCCTCCTCGTCCAACTGGATGATGCGCACCACCACGATCTCGATGGAGTTGCCGATGCTGGGGTCCTTGTACAGGGCGGATACCATGTTCATGATGGTCAGCAGGTAGCCATTGAGGTCCTTGTGGAATGCCGACATGGTGGCGTCGGCCACGATGAGTGTTTCCACATGCCGGGGACTGCTGATGGACCGACGCCTACGTGGAATCTCCGGATGATCCTGATCCGTCTGGAACTGCGTCTCGTACTTGAATTTGGTGTGCGGCACACGGGTTTTCTGCTGATGATGATGGTGCTTGTGGTGCCTGTGGTGGCGCCTTATTTGGCGTCCACCCTGGATCTTCACCTTGCCCCTGGACTGCCACTCCAGCCTGGTCTCCATCCGCCGGCGAGGCTCCCGAGTTCCGCAGTTGCTGACCTCCGCTCCGGTTCCTCCCAATCCACCTCCCCCTCCTCCTCCACCGCCTCGTTTGCGCTTGTTCCGCTTCCTCGCTGCATGCTAGTGGATGAATGGCTGTAAAACTGGGCATCTAAAGGTGTAAATTTCCCCCATCTCACCTTGGGTTTCACGGAGGAGCGCTGGAAGACCACGTGCGGATGGCCATTCGCCGGATGCGGCTCGTGCTCCTTGGAGGGCTCAATGAAGTACTCATTGCTGGCCGTCCGGATGTGACCCACCTGACAAAAAGGAATCGGTTTAGAAACTGTATGTGTATGGAATTGTTTTCTCCAAATTTCAGTTAAAGATAATCAATTCTTTAAGATTAATTTTGTAATTTAATTTAATTGGAGGCACTCAAACGCATTTTACATTTGTATTTTCCAGAAATTTCATTTTTTTTAGATAATGTTTGTGACTAGTGCTTTAAAAACAGGAATTTGTTGTAATACTTAGATAGTAAACGAACAATTAATTTTAAACTAAAATGACACTAAATATCTTTAGACAAAATTAAATACAGTTTGGTTACTTAAGAAAATAATGTTTGTTTAAAAATGTTAAATAAATGAAATAAAGAATTGCGCTCTCAAAGTCGTAGAAATATGTTTTAAGATAAAGTCGTAATATATTCAACCAAGTTAATAAACAATTTGAGCCACTCACCAGTCCGGAGCAGGTGGAGATGGCCACATTGGTGTCCGATTGACCCCGCACCTTGCCGTGAAAGTGGCAGTTGAGGTGGCGCGGGGTCAAAGGTGACCGCGTGCGCAGATCCCGGCGATGACGCTCCACCACCAAATTGGGGGCCAGGAAGTAGCTGTGCGCCGTCAGCTCCAGATGCAGTGTCTCGTTTTCCAGCGGCACCTGCAGGTGCAAGTCCGCCGTCTCCGATTCGAGTTGCCCCCCATCCAGACTGCGACGCTGGCGATGCCACCGATGATCCCTATCGTGGGCGTAGTCCAGCCGGTGGGTCATGAACCCACCATCGGGATGGACCCGTCGCGGCACCACCAGCTGACCCTCCCCAGCCACCAGTTCGTCGGAGTGGAGACCGTAGAGTCGCCCACGAAACGTCGCCTTTGCTCCCCCAGGTGATTCCACCACCAGCCAAAAACAGAGCAGCAGGCCCAGCCAGCGACTCCTCATCCGCATCTTGCTGCCGTCCATCACCCAATCCTGATCCAGATCGTGATCCTGATCCTGATCCTGATCCCGATCCCGATCCTAGTCCACAGCCCTAGCCGTTGTCCAGGCGTTGTCTCAGCAGCATGGCAGCGATCGCATACTACGAATCTTGGCCTGCTCAAGATCAGCTCTGGCTAAAAATTAGGGGGACAAATTATTTAATTTAATTTATATTAAATCTCACAAACAATTACTGAAAATATGCGTTTTTTCTAAGGGTAATTTTTCCGACAATTTAAGGCGGTATAATATCTTAAATATAGAAAGCCTGAACCATTTTTTTTATCCGTAAATATATTTCGTACTTTTTTTAATGGTTACATATTTTGGTTAAATCTAAATAATTTTTGTTCGAGCTCTTGAAAATATAAATTATAAAATATTTATAGTTTATGTTTCATAACGATACAAATTCTAGTGGCAACGCCAGTAACACTTTTTTGAATGAATTTTAATTTGTTTTTATTCCTTTTTACAATCATCTTTTTAATTAAAAGTATAAAACAAAACAGGAAATATTAATACATATTCGATTATTTATAAAAAAAAGAACTCTTTTACATACATACTAATAAAAGTTTACGTTTATTAATAACAATATTAAATTACAAAAAAAAGAAGCACGATTAGCATTGAATTCATGGCTTAAACTGAACAGATTTAATTTAAAATATTTTATTTTGTAAACCTTTTCTGCTGTATTTTATATCTGCAAAGTTTAAAACATTTATGTTGTTTATTTAAGCCTTCTATCGTTTCTTATTTCTAAGAAATATCATTTCCGCTAAATTTGGGTAAACAAAACATGTGGATTTATCACAATGAAATCGTGATCCCTATGACAGTAGCAAACTGAAGATTATAATTATTTACGATATCTGAAGTGCCTCACTTTTTTGGTTAGTAATGAGGCAATCAATCTTGGAGTGCTCTCTGCCTATTGTTGTGGTTTTCGCCGATCATTGTGGTTTCGCTGGGGACCTGGCGCCATCCAACCCACAAGCAGTTGTTATGGCAATTCATACTCTCGATCCGCACCGATTCAATCCGATCTTAACCGTCCTATTTGGGCTGGGATTAGCCCCTGGATGCGTATTATTATTATGGCATATGGAGGCCATAAAAAGAAAGAGACCACTTCCCCAGATATAATAAATAAAAGGTGATTTGCTTTTTGGCTTTTTAGCAAACACTTTCCAGATGGAACGGAGACAATGGTGAGGGGCCAAAAACCCAAAAATAACACACGGGCCATAAAATTAAGCAAATTTTTTCAATGCGGCGCTTCAAAGACAGCAACAACAACAACTAAAAACATTGAGAAGAAACAACAACACTGTATGGTCATTATCAAAGCAACACGACAACTTAATTATTCAAAAGATTGACGCATTCAACGGCGCTCTTATCACGATCACGATTTGTAATTTATGATAAATGTTGGCAATTCCATTAATAAAATTAAACAAAAGCTCATTAGCTCCAAAGCCGATTTGCAGTCGAAGGAAAAGCAAAAGTTCGGACTCCTTGCCACTCAAGAAAGTCGCATAATATACCCTGCAAGTGGGTAGCTTTGAAAGTTCTTTAAGTCTGGCTCTATAATTCTTATTTCAATTTACTGGCCACCCATGAAATGATGCAAACTTGTGAAAGACCAGCTTCACAATTGTTACGCTATTGGTCGCACATTGCAGGCAATGAACGCACAATCCAGATTAGCACATTTTTTCTGCGTCAATCGAAATTATCACTAATTACTCACAAACAATTACTCAAAATATGATCTTTTTTTCTAATGGTAATTTTCGGACAATTGTAGGCAATATAATGAACTAAGAATCGTTGATTGTTAATATTTTTTGTATTAAATTATAAAGACTAAGAATCGTTAAATGCTGATTATTTTTGTATTATTCCTAGATAACTCCAATAAGTCATAATAATAATAATAGATTTATTAGTAAAAGCAATAAACTATTTTTTATCAGTTAATATTTTGGTCCACCTTAAAATTAAAGATTTAAAGAAACATTATTAAATATATAATAATATATATAATATAATTTTTATATGGAAACAGGGGGTAATAAATTCTGATAGTATATTCAAATTTTATAAAAATGCTGGTGATAACGATTAGACAGAATAAAATGACCTTACCTATTTGTAAATATATATAGAAATTCCAGAAATATTTCAAAAATTCCGGAACTGTTTAATAATATGCGTAATATGTGTTACTTGCAGAATTGTGAAATAAGTTCAAGAAATCCCATCAATTGGCTATTTCGCTATATTATATTTCGCTATCTCTGTAGTGATTGTGATTCGAAGTTACCCCACCAGCTATAAACAGAGCATACACATACACATAACATATTATATGTCTAACGACAATGACCTTGGCGATGGCGCCTCGGGCAGGTGCCGTTCTTAATTCCGAATTCAATGCGAACTCATCATCGTGGCCATAATGATGGCAATAAAATATGCGCTTAAATATTGGATATACCCGATACCCAATACCCGAAATTCCCACTCCCATTCCTGTTTCGTTATTTATTCTGTGAATCGAATTCGAGTCGCGGCGAAACTTGAAAGACTTCCCAGTTAAATTAGCAAGCGCCACATGATCGTACATATATTAAAATGTTGCCATTGTCCATCCATCCATCCGTGTGTCCACTTGTCCATTTGTCCCATTATGCTGCAGTGCCTCCCAGTCCGCCGGTTGACTGGTTGACTGGGTGACTGACTGACTGACTGACTGGCTGAATGGTCGAATGATCGAATGATCGAATAGTGGATGCCAGTAGGCGCCACTCTTAATTATCAATCAATCAATCACTGCCGCCCGACGGCTCCCTCCATTAAATGTCAGCCAATTGTTTGCAGACTGTCTGCCACACCCCTCACATCCCTTTCCGCTCCGCCCGATCTTAGCATATATATACACATATATCCCCACCTAGTCGTATTCAACTTCTTTGGCGCTTCGCTGGCTGCATTTTGATTGGGTGCGAATAAAAAAAAGGGGAAACAGGACGAAGACTCCTCCTTGCGCATACGATCAATCATCGAATCATATGTAGATTATAAGGTAATCATAAATTATCAGCAATGCCATAGAAAGCTCTAAGTTTGTGGGTTAAACTTGAGCATAGTCAGTATAAAAAAACCATCAAACAACAAATAACTTTAAATGTTTTGACAATTATTGCATTTTACAACCGGCTGACCTCCTTTAAATCTTCATGAAAATTTCTCCAAATGCCACCGAAAACTCAAAGTTGCGGGGTTCAATTCTTGCATTATAAAAAAAGCACTACAAAACTGAGAACTTTAAATAATTGGCAAATTATCGTTAAAGGCTCACCGCCTTTAAGTCTCCAAGAAAATGACACAAAATTGAGATTGAAATTTGTTAATTAAATTTTTTTGTGTAAATAAAATTAAATTAAATTAAATTAGAGATTAAAGTTAAATATAAATTATCATATAATCTTAAAATCTTCTTATTTTGATATGATAGTCAAGTAAATATAATAAATATAAATCAACCCCATATAAGCTCAATGATTTTTATATAATTTTAAAATATTTAGGATCTGTGAAATGATAATAAAATAAACTGTTTTCAAGACAATATTTAAATAGTACTGATGAGGTTTTCTGGAACAGACTTCCACCTCCTAAATGTCAACAAATATAACTTCCAATTCGAAAAGGAATTAAGGTACTTCCCCATATTCCATTGACAACTGACTAAGTTGAATAACTTAAAGACAGAATTCATTGAGAGTCACATGGGGTGTGATCAAAATTCTTATAAATGTCCCCCTACAAACGCGGCATGATCTCATGTGAGTTTGTTTCTCCATTTTGGATGGATGGGTTCGTTTCGGAAATTTCACTTGAATTAAATATCCATTTCCTTCAGTTGGTAAAGTCGTCATTCCTCCTCCGCATTTCCCATTTGTACGTTTTAATCCAACGTTGGCGTTTCATTATTTCGCTTATTGGCTATCTTTAGGCGATTTTCAACATTTATGAAAAGATTTGTCACCTCTGGTTTTTTGATCAAGCGGACCATCGATCATCGGTGACGAATATTTATGCTAATGAAAGGCCGAATCAAGATCGAATACACACGTACTCCTCCTCTTTCCTGGCGACCACGACTACATGTGTGAAATGAAAGACAAAAATATTACAGAAATAAACCGAGAGGGTCTGGGTCTGGCGAATTTCCGATTTCACTTTGTGGAGGCCTCCAGCCGAGAGGCGAAGCCATTTGTACGCCCACCAGTTGGCTAGATCGGATCCCAGACTCTAGTATCCAGTATCCAAGACTTTGGATTCAGACTAGGCCACAGACCGGACCAAAATGGATCCAACTTGGCTAGCTGTGTAGATTTCGGGGATCGGGCTGGTGATGTGGATTTGGATGTGAATGTGGATGTGGATGTGGATGTGGATGGGGGATTGGAGTGAAGCAGGGCAGGCCTCTTTGGCTGAAAGCTCCATTCATATGTTTTGCCATTCATGCGTTGTAGTTTCATTGAGAAACTCAGACAGACGCACATGAAGCTGGCTCACAATTTCAATTTTTCGATACCCTTTAAAAGGGGTATCAGCGCTTTATCACCTATTACCTACGATTTATTAGGGAATATGGCTGAAAGAAGCAAGAAGCATTTGTAAGCCCGATACTGTTTAAATTTCAGTATCTACTAATAATATTTTGGAGGATTAAACGGCTAATAAACATTTTATAGGGCATTTCAGCCTTAGATTTGATTTCATGATTTTACATATAAGCCATCTTGGTTTTTATTTCAAACTTCTTGAGTCTTAGATTTAATAGATAATTAATACGGCCTGACATTCAGAACAATGATTCTACTTAAACTAATATTGAAATTAATCAATTAAAATAAAACTGATATTTTATTATGACCTCAGTGGGATTAGAAAAAAACGACTACATTCCTAACTTTGTTTTTGTAGGGTTTGAGGGTTTATACAAATTTTGTCTTTAACAAAATGTTTCAATATTATAAAATAATATTAGTAATATATATACTAATATTATAAAAATAGTCATAAAATTGTTTCTATTTAAACTTATCTTTTGAGAAATAAAAAAAAAATTCTCCATACATATGCAGGCTTTGTACGAATTAAGTTTTCAATTGTTTTTTTTTTTACTGAGCAATTAATTTTGTTTGGCACTCTGTAAGGGTGTAGAAGCTTCGACTTGTCCAAAGTTGTCTTTCTTGCTAGTTTCTTTTTCGTTTATGGCGTTTTTTTATGAATGAAATGAAACTTTTCACGTAAAACGACGATTCCAAATTGCTCGCTTGGCTACGGTTGGGTTGGGTTCCCCGTAGCTCCCCGTACATCCCCGTAGTCTCCGATCCCCGTTCCCCGAAAAGCCCCCCATCTAAAAACCTGGGGGCCCCGCCCTCGCCGGATCCACGTTACTCCGATGGTTTCGCTCCTATCTCGGGGCACATTTGAATCTCTATGGCTTCGCGCATTCGCATGTGGGCCGAAAATGTATTTTTATGGCAACGTCGTTCGATTTATTAGTTCATTTGTTTTCTGTTTGTGTTATTAGCGAGTACACACATGTCTGCTTGGAAAGAGTCTTTATCTTAATCTTCATTTTTTTTTTTGTTTTTTTTTGCACAAGCGTTTCTTGGGGATGTTCTCTCTGTTTTTATGGTCCGTCGACGGATCGGATGGGCCAACTGGTCCCGGCCAAAATACAGAATGCTTCAGAGCACATCATTTAATTTCGGTTTATTTGTCATGACATTGTTGCTATCTCGTCGCTTGTGACCATACATGACTAGTTGTATTTGTTTTTTTTTACCGTTTTTGGGAGTCATATATACATATATAGATATATATATATATTTATATATATAAATACTTTTTTTTTTATTTTTGTCGCCACGCTGAGATCACACAGGAAATTGAGTGTGGAGCGAAAGAGGCAGAGGAAGTGGGAATAGCAAATGCCCTAAAAGTCAAGGATCGACGGTGTTGATATGATACCAAATACAAAGATATGCGGTGGGTTTTATGATCATTTACAGGGTTCATTTATCACTGAGATCTGACATTTTTTATAGTTTTTAAAGATACTATCTAGATGTACAAAGGCTCTTTGGTTTACCCCATTGCATGTTGCCTGCCAATTTTAAAAATACATGATTATAGTTTTTCTTATTTTCAATATAGAAAAAGGGCGTCTGTGATACCATCATGGTATCTGGGATACATAACACATTCCTTGGATGCCGCGACTTACCGATTCCGATTCCGATCCTCAATTCGATCTCGAATCCAATTCCGAAAGCCGCCGCTGATGAAGCCCGCAAATATTTTAACCGCAAACAAAGGCAAAATCAAATAAAAATCAAAATCAAGAGCCCGACGGCAGTTGTAGCTTTTTTTTTAGGGGCGGCGAGATTATAACGCCAGGTAAGGAGAACTCAGACAACCGCTCTTTCACAACAATGGCCGAAGATTTCACAAGTCGCGAACTTCGGTTCACAGGCACTGGTAAAAAAAGAAATACCCAAAAAAAGGCAACAAAAAAGAGCGCGTTTTTGAAAACACAGATATTACGATTCGAATCAATCACACTCGCACACAAGCCCGACCTCTGTATATGTATATGCGTATATATTGCATGTGTATTCCTATGTTCAAGAGAGAGCTCTGCGCAGACGCTGTTCGATCATTCTAAAAAAACAACATATCCATATTTTTCACTGGACACTTTTTTTTTTTAATTTCGGCGTTCTATGGGCTAATATATGGATGAGGTTTTCTTATTGGTTCTTTTCTTAATCGAAAGCGAAACACAAGCAGCGCGGCTGAAAAGATATCGTGCAAATACAAAGTTTCGAGAGTTGTGTGTTGCTTAAATAGATTTTGGTCTCGATCTGTTCGAACCTGCCGGCTCGACGTCGAACCTGATTCAGTGTTGCCGATCTAGCACTTTTTATATACATATGTACCTATCTATTTTTCTATCTATCTTTTTAAAACAGCAAAATATCATTTTAACTGGTTGAACTTGTATTGGCAAGTTCTTAGCGCGCTATATTTGGCTAGCCAATTTAAAAACAACAAATAAAAAGTTGGCGTTTTTTGATATTTTAGATATTTATTCATTCATTCTATAGCTTTTTACAAAGAAAATAGGTTTTTTCATTTTTGTATATACAAAAATATAAAAAGAAATAAAAAAATGCATACCTATATTTTGAAGAGATTTTTGTGTGATTGTTTCTTAATCCCAATTATCCGCTTTTGTGGAAATGGTTGCGACAGCACTAGCTTGATCTCTCGCAACCGGTTCGAGCCGGGTTCGATATCGAACTTGGCTTGACCGAGAAAGAGAGAGCTCTTCTTGTCAACAGTGAAAATCATCGGCATGTGTCCTTGGCTTAACAGTTGGGGGGAAAAGCTCAACAAATAAATTCCCATTAAATTGTGGACGAACTACTGTTTTTGCAATTTATCAGATTTTATTAAAAAATGATCTGCTACTTAACCAAATTTAGAAAACTAATTTCTGTTTACGATCAAGTTTGGGTTTCAAAGTTCTACCATTGTTTTCGGTAAAATCTTCTTGTATCCAAACTATATTGCTGCCTGGTACAGTGAACTCATTCGCCAAATGAAAACTCTTAGCTATACACATCTTATTTTTCAAACGGGAATTGTTTTATACCTTTCGAAATTAGAACAATCAGAAACCTATTTAAATATTACTATTTTCCCAAAAAATTTAATTCTGACTTCTTATTTGTTTTTCTTATTTGGAGTACACAAATTTATGATTTTTCTAATTGCTATTCGTTAGTTTTTTGAAAAGTAATTTTGGTGTCCTTAACTATTCATTGAATAGCTTCCTTTGTAGTTGATGCTTAAAAGTAGGCTAATAATTTTAAGGTAAATGATAAGACTAGCCTATGAAATATCTAAATCGTTAAAAAACGGGACAAAAAATATGAAAAATACAATTTATTTTATGAATTTATATAGCTATTTGAAAATTGTTCTCTTTCGACTTCCACCCCCTAAAAGGCTAATTCCTATAGGCAATCCTCACTGTGGCTGTGCAGACTGTTGCCATGCGTGCTTGCCGTATAATTATAATCGTATCATGCATATCTGCTTTATGGCGTCGATCCGCAGAAATTGCTGTCTTATCTTATATAGTGCTTCCAGAAACTGTGCGAATGTCCAGGGAGAGGAGTCCATGGAGGTGGAGTGGGGCGGGATCTCTTCAAGATCGGGCGCTGTATTTCGCCAAGGACACACCGTTAAATGCAGACAATTGCCGGCGGACCTGCACAAAAAAAAGGGGAGTAAATTGTTTAAAATTATCACATACTAAAGACGCCGCGAGGATGCGATTGAGACAAGGAGCAGGGGGAGTGCCCATGCTCCTGCTTCTGCTCCTGCTCCTTCACCATCTCCTCCGAAGACGAAGACGAAGACGAAACAAAACAAATCACATTATTAGCCGCCGTCGTTGTTGCACGTTATTTTTAAAATTTTTCGTTTCGTTCGGCCCCCGTTTGATTTTAGGCGCCAAGCCGATGTCGCCGGCGTTTGGCTGCAAATTGCAATTGCGGCGACACGTCTGGAGCGTGGCAGCAGCATTCAGCCGTACACTGCACAAAAAAAAGCACAAATCGAGATCACAAAAATAAATTGTACAACTTTCAATTATCAAACCAGCCATTAGGCCCAATAAGAAGACATCTGTAAACGAAATAATAAAAACTATAAATCAATGATTATATTTAAATCACTGGATAGTGTATTTGCACATTGTTGTTATATTGAATATATTAAAAGGTAATAGTGATTGAACTTTAAATTTAAATGATTTGAGAATTATTTAGTAAAAAGATTCAAAGAAGTTGTCCATCTATGCTTAAGTACTAACACCAATATTTGTTATTTACCTTTTTCAATATTTTAAGTCAAGCAAATATTTTGTATATTTTAAGTATTTACTTTTCAATGGAATGTTGGAAATATTTCTTAAATCTTAAAAATACTACTAATTTCGTTTGGATTAGATACATTTGTCTTTACACCTATCACCTGTACTATTATTATTTTGCTCGGTGCACACATTCACACACATGAGCAGCAGATACAGTAGAGATAAGGTAAAGGAGAAAAAAAGCCAAGGAGAACGAGCGAGAGAGGGAGCAACCGAGATAGAGATACAAGATAAGAGAGACAGCCAACAGACGCCAGACAACAAAAACAACTACAACAACAATGACGCCGGCGAAGACGCAGCATCGCCTATACACTCGAAAAAAGAAAACGATCAGGATCCATATTTCAACATGCTAATTTATTTAATCTATAATGGCAACTTTATGTTAGCTTAATTTCCCCTGAAACTTACTTTAAAGCTTATTATCAAGAAACAAAAACAAATACTACAAACGTATCCCTGGGATAACTTTGCGAGTAAAACTTCCTATTCGAATCTCAATAAATGAAAAGATACAGGACAGGAGGACTCTGGATTTTTGTTAGGTGTATCAGTGGCTTTGCTGCTGCGATGCCAACAGATATCAAGCACGTCTCAATCTCAATCATTCAGGGCCGGGCTCCGGGAAAGGTTTGCGTTTACGTAGCTGCTGCTGCCGCTGCCGCTCAATTAACAATGAAAAGTCGGTCTGGTACGTCATAATATATTTTTATCTGATTACCTGGCTGCGGTGCGCACTAGAGGTGGACCCGTAATCAAAAACGATACTTAATAATTTAAAACAATAATCTAACATTTAATGGATAAAAAGGTTCCTAAAATCAATCGTAAATCGTAAAAATGACTAACGATTTAATTTATTTGTTACTTTAAATCTTTAATATAAAGCAATTAACTATTGTTAATAAAAAGTTTAAGTTTAATACATTAACTTTAATGGAGAAGCATTAGTAGTAGGTAACACTAAAATGGTTTCATCGCAAACAATTCCGAGAAAAAATATCAATGAAAGGTTTCAAATTAATTTAAAGACTGAATAATTATATTTTTATTCGTATTTTAATTTCTTAAATATATGATACATTAACCCTTTGGTTAAGGTGGTATATAACATACAGTTCCCTAATTTAAAACTATCGAATAATGTGATCCTTTGCTCGTGTCACGCTGCCACCCACAGAAGCCTGAATGGCGGGCAGTGGCGCCGGTGGCCAGGGACCAAATGGGAGCTAGGTCCCACAGATCCCACAAATCCAACAGAATCGTGCGTTAGTCCGTCCCGACACACACACCCCGACCTACAGATATTGTATCTTTGTATCTCTGTATCTGCGGCGGCTCCAAGCGACTGAAACAACATCATTGCTCGTCTGTCCGTCATCCGTGCTGTTGGCATTGTTTCTTCTGGTTGCAGCTGTGGATGTGGTCTATGTAATTTTTCGCGTGACTCCCATGTCAAGATTTGATCTTTGGCAGATCTCACTAGTCTGGTGGCGTCAGTCTCCATGTCTCCAGATCTCCAAGTCTCCAGGTCTCATCAATGCGACGCCGCCCGTGTCCCAGCTTAAAAGCTTCATTAGTGTGGGAATTACACAAATAAATTTAAAAAAAAGTATTTTGGGATAAACAAGTCGCCAAATAATAGGAAAAAAGGTAATAGGATAACAAATAAAAACAAGAAAGTACGCTACAGTCGAATACCCAGACTATTAGATACACGTTACTCAGCGAACAAATTTCAATCTAAATATTCTCCCCCCAACAAAAGCACGCTTTTTTATTTGACAAATCTCTAAAAACCCAAAAAAGCGCCTAAAATCGGTTTTTGTATTAAAACCTTGGGAAGAAATGACCAATAGATGGAATGTCATACATCGGTGAATTCGTCATTAAATTGTCAATCGAATGGCATTCACAGTTAAAAATGTTCAGTTTTGTAAATTATTGCAAAAAGGGTGATGTAACCCCTTATTAAAAATGCAAAAACTGGTCAACAAATTATATTCTTAAAAAAATCGAGTTTTAAAAATCGGTTTTTGCATCAAATCAAAATTAATAAAAACCGATTGTGGATGGGTAGCATAGGTCGCCCACTATACAAAACATTCCCTGTTATGACTATAGTTAGTTTAGTTTTTTGACAAATCTTCAGAAACCCTAAAATAACACCAAAAAATGCGGTTTCTGTATGAAAACCTTGGGAAGTAATGGTCAAAAGATGGAATACCTTATTTAAAGAAAATTGTTTTTGTATGCCAATTTTCAGGAAAATGTTTTAGGTAACCCCTTGATTGAAGAAATGGGTCATAAAATTAATTTATCAAAATCAGTCTTACGGCTATCCGCCTTATTTTGGTCACTTCAAAAAGAAAAAAAACCTTAAAAAATGTGTTTTTTTTTGTCAAATTTCTAAAAAGTAAATCACATTAATTTAGTTATTCTTTAAAATATATTTGTAAACACTTTTTTAAGGCCTTCAGATCTAAACAGTTTTACAAACGAAGCTTAAACCCATTTGGAAAATAAACAAGTCCAAAAGAAGATAACTTCCTCTTTTAACTTTGGTTAACTATTAAAAATAATTTAAAATTGGGACTTCAAACGACCACTTTTCGATACCAGAGGGCGCGAAATGCGAAAGCAAAACAGCTGTTTCGATAGCCCAGGCTATCGCACCTGAGCCACCGACGGACTATCGATAGGCAGCAGGCAAATCCAGATGCTAGAGAATTTTCGGTTGTTTTGGCCAACAAACTAGGCCCTGTTCCTACAGTTTTTTGCCATTTGGAGGCCAGCACTTTGACCCGGTTCGGAGGAGGAGCCTGGCCAGCGGGGTCCAATGGCGCGCAATGTGCTCGAGAGCAGCCTGCTGGGCGCCGGCTTCAGCATCATTTTTCAGGTGAGCGCGCCGCTCCACTGTGTCCGCTGCCCGGGCACTCATTACTCATCCGCCGTGTGATCCGATCTTATCGCCCCACAGATACTGTGCCGCATCCTCACCTTCGGCATCAACGCGTACATCGTGCGGCATGTGGGCCGCGAGGTGCTGGGCATCATGAACGTGCGCCTGCTGCTCTTGGAGAGCACACTGCTCTTCCTGTCCCGCGAGGCCATCAACCGGGCGGCCCTCAGCGCCAATGCCCAGCAGGGCGACCGCTGCTCCTGGGCGCAGCTGATCAACCAGATGTGGCTCACGTAAATACTCCATGATGCAAGTCGATTGCCTGGTCCTTGGGAAGCCAGGCGGCAGGATACCTTCATGGTCTCCACCATGACCCTACAGTTCTTACCATTCCAACAAGAAATGAGTGGTCAGGAAATCAGGAAATTGGCTGGAAAATGTTTAGCTATTACCACCTCCATTATATTCATTAACTGTCCAATTGCCAGGACATTAAAAAGCCAGGACTCCTTCATGGTGTTCAACTTGAAGTCCTGTGAAATTTTCACCCCTACAGTTCTTACCATTTCCACAGGAGATTTGTACTTCCTATGGAAGTGGTCAGGATATCCTGCTTTGAATTTGCAAGAATATGTACAGCTCTTACCATGTCCATTTTGTTTATTATCTTCAAAATTGTCAGAACATTACAGTCAATACCCTTTAGGTATCCTAATTAGTTTAGCTCTTAGCTCTACCTGTGAATTATTGTTCAAATCAGTAATGCGGATACCTTCTTCATTTTCTGAATTTGTATAGCTGTTACCATCTCCATTTGTTGTATTAATTTCACTCATAGTATCCTGCCGCTTTGAAGTTCTTATGTTCATGGCCGGTACCATCTGCGAACGAAATGTAAATGTAAATGACTTAAGTTAAAAAATCGGCATAGGTTATAATGCATACTCAAGTGAACTAGTCAGTTGAAAATCGGCTTGCATCTTGTGTTAAAACTCCACCCGATTGTTGACTAAATAGACCTTTTCTTTTAGGGTGCCCATCTGCGCTGTTTTGTGTGCTCCGTGCCTGTATATCTGGCTGAACTGGCTCTCGGCGGTGGACGCCATCTACGCCTCGCAATACGAGTTCGCCTGCTATGCCGTGGCCCTGTCCTGCGTCCTGGAACTGCTGGCCGAGTCGGCGGTGTTCGTGGCCCAGGTGTTTTGCTTTGTGAAGCTGAAGATCCTGCTGAACACGCTGCACATCCTGGTGCGCTCGGCCATCTTCCTGTGGATCGTCACCGGCGACCGCAGTGCGGCGATCAATGCCTTCGCGCTGGCCCAACTCTCCAGCGCAGTGACCATTGTCGTGGGCCAGTATGGCTTCTTCTACTTCTACCTCAGGGGCTTCAAGGACTTTGTGGCGCGACAGGCGCGAAAGAAGCCGCCGGCAGCGAAGGCCTGGCAGGTGTCGCTGTACGAGCACATGGATGACTTCCCCTTCAAGCAGCTAAACGATTTCCTGCCCGGCGTGATGTTCAATCCGAATGGCAAGCACTTTAACCGTGAGCTGCAGACGCTGACGCTGAGCTTCGTGAAGCAGGGCGTGCTCAAGCAGATCCTCACCGAGGGCGAGAAGTACGTGATGTCGGTGTCGCCAGTGCTGAGTTTCGGCGAGCAGGCCACCTACGATGTGGTCAACAATCTGGGCAGCATGGCCGCCCGCTTCATCTTCCGCCCCATCGAGGACAGCTCGTACTTCTACTTCACGCAGACGCTGTCCCGGGACATCAAGTTGGCCAAGCAGCCGCAGGAGCGCGTCCGCCAGGCGAGCAGCGTCCTGAACAACCTGCTCCTGGGCGTCAGCTCCATCGGCCTGATTGCGTTCACCTTCGGCCAGAGCTACTCGTACCCGGTACTGTTGCTCTACGGCGGCCCCGACTTCGTGGCCGGCGGACTGCCGCAGAGCCTGCTGCAGTGGCACTGCCTGGCCATCTATCTGCTGGCCGTGAACGGGATCAGCGAGGGCTACATGTTCGCCACGAACACCAGTCGCGACATCGACAAGTACAACTACCTGATGGCCATCTTCTCGGTCAGCTTCCTGGTGCTCTCCTACATTTTGACGGGCATCTTCGGCCCGGTCGGTTTCATCTTTGCGAACTGCATCAACATGCTGAGCAGGATCCTCTACAGCACGTACTACATCCGGGCTCAGTACCGACCGTTGTCGCTGGATCCGCTGCTGGGCCTCTGGCCGGGCAAACTCTTCGGCGGCACGCTCCTCCTGGCCGGGATCGTCTGCTATTGGGTGAGTATGCGTTCGCTATTTCTCTTTTCATTAGTGAGGCCTATTCCTATCCCTACTTCCTGCAGTACCAAAGTTCTGGCCTCGCCACACATCTGGGCGTGGGTGTACTGGCCGGCCTCGCCTGCCTCTTGTCCTGGGCACTGGCCCATCGGGATCTGGTGCGACTGGCCTGGCGCTATGGCCGCCGCATCAAGATCGAGTAGCTGGGGCATGGACCGCATGGACCCCTCGTCGATTCAATGAAACGCACAGTTCGAGACATTATGACATATTTATATATAGTTGACAATTGTAAATTAATTCCGAAATTAAGTTATGTACTTACCGAGTGTTTGTAGAGCCTTGAATGCTTACTATTGTTAAGACATGCATTAAAAGACAACGATTACTGTTAACGTTTCATTTTCTCTTTGCCACGAATAAGTTATTTGCATGAGAGTATCTCAATTTCTTAGCAAGTCAACAAAATCTGAGGGATTGTTTTGTGGGTTTGTGGGTCAGTGGATTGGAGGGGTTAGCTTTTAGAATCACTTTTTAATTTTGGTGATTCCCAAATGTGGCCACACATCACGTTATAATTTGTAACTCGACTTTTGACCTGCATTTATTCATACATATGTACACATAAATAGTTATCTTTACTGGAAAAAATCCAGAGAGACAATAAAACTCAAACGGATGTTATATTAGTTCTAAGAAGAAAAACTGGCCTCGTTAGACGTTATCAGTTTTTTCCTGATGTCTGACCTCCGTCTTTTGTTCATATATACATACATTTAGAAAGTAATCATAAAAATAAAATAATATGAAAGAAACCAAAACATAGTCTGGTATGGAAAAATATTTGAGATACTTAAAATGTCATACACAAATAATATACAGTGGGTCAAGACTTTTTTCGACCACTATGCAGATCGAAGTCACAGGCTATTTTTAAAAAACTTTTTTTTTATTAAAAAAAAAAATACTCTTGGGTAATTTGTTTATTAAAAAATATTTGAGTTGTTATGTAAAAAGGCTGTGATAAATATGTGACCTTTTATTGATTTTGTTTTGCGGTGACCGAAATTCTAGAGAACTAGATATTGTGGCAAAAGATTCAGTTAAATAACACCATATTGTTATTAACACAGTTGAACGATTAAAAACTACATTTGCAGGTGTTTAAAAAGCCAGAGAAATTTTGTAAAGAACGGTTCAGTAGTTTTCCAAAAGTAATTCGAATGCAAAGCCTTTAACTGGAGAACCGAATATTTCCGATCGAAATAAACTCTGAGTCACTGTATAAATATTTTGTCAATCCAGTTCAATTCTGCTATTTCTATTATATATGTACATATATGCTTGTGGGGCTTATTTTAGTTATCAGCAATATTAGAGACTTCGTTGTTTCTTCAACAAATACCTCGATTTCAGTACGTTCCCAAACTTAGACTCCGTCGGTAATATCAATTCAAAATGCTGAGGCTGGCACTGTACACAGTCTGTATTGTCCTTTCTCTACAAGGATCCCTTGTAGCATCTCAGGATCATCCGGTGTGCGTCCTTCGGGATGCGCCAACGCAGTGCGGCTCCTTTTGCCTGAGCGCACTACATCCGCTCTTTGCCGATACTGATAATATTCGAAGCAGGTTGGATGGCATCGAAGCAGGGCTAGATTCCTGTAAGATGAAAAATGATTACGAGGCGAGATTAGCCGGAATCGAAAACCACCTAAAAGCGGTAAGTTGCTGACAAATCTACAGACGGACTTGAATGATTATTGTTTTAATGCCCTAATCATTTGGTACAACTCAATGCCAAAAATGAACTCAAACGGAACAATACCATGAAAACAATACTATTACAAACTTGCAGAGTCAGTTAAAAATATCTGAAGATCTAATCAAAACCAAAGACGATCTTATCAATGCGCAAAAAAAACTAATCGATAAAGATGATCAAATCACGGACCTAAAGAATTGGATTGAAACATCAAAACTTAACCAATCTAATGAGCTTTCGGAATGCCGATTAAAGCTCGATGAGATGGAACCATTTAAGGTGTCATGTTCGTCGTCTCCACATGGCTGGACCGTAATTCAGAGACGGATCGACGGATCCGAGAACTTCCATCGAAACTGGGATGATTACAAAAAAGGATTTGGAAACGTTAAGGGAGAATTTTTCATTGGCCTGGAAAATTTGCATCAGATGACGAAGGCAGGTCACCACGAACTCTACATTAAGCTTGGGAAGGTTGATGGATCCACCAGCTATGCTCACTATGACGATTTTAAAATTGGCAGTGAGGACGAATTGTATGAGCTGAAGAGCATTGGGATTTATTCCGGTGAAGCCGGAGACTCCCTTAAATTCAATAAGAACAAAAAGTTCTCTACATTTGATCGGGATAATGACGAATGGTATGCAAATTTAGCTGATCTGGAAAACGGTGGTTGGTGGCATGGCGTTTGGGAAATAAGGTATAAACGTTCAATTAAAATCTAATTCATTGTTATTAAATTAACCTCTTAACATTACAGTCAGCTCAATGGAAAATACTATAAAGATGGCCAAATAACAAATAAAGGCATAAGAAACGGAATATACTGGATCTCATGGCATAACTACGACGTGAAAATATCACTCACCTACGTTGAAATGATGATAAGACCTAAGTCCTTATGAAGCACAGTTGCTATTGATCAAATATCATAGTTTTAATCCAAAGGATTTGAATAGAAAAACGAATATAATTTATTTTGCAATAGATAAAATGGAGTTGTCGTACCACAATTTTGTGTGTGGAGCTGCTCCTGAGGAACTTTAAATCCTATTAACGAAGCTCACTAAAGGTATTCGTTTCATTGCATTGATTTCTTAAGGGGTTACATATCCGATTTTATTTATTTTATTTTCTAAGCTACACACAAAAAATATCATATCGTTCAGGGGAATAGTTTTGAAGTTACACGCAAATTTTAAAAGGCGTTTTAAAGTGCTTGAAAGTACAAATACAAACTTTTAACGAAAACGGCAAAACCGATTAGTGTCCAATTTTAAGACGAGCTTCTTAAATACCGACAAATATTTTTTTATAAAGAATTTAAGGCCGAAATTTTGGTCAAAAAAGGGGGAATTACTTATTTTGTTACAGCGTTTCGATCCATGATTTCTACACCATTTTGTAGATAACTATTCATTCGATTTTCTTTACTGGTTGAAATAACACACTTAATTTACTGAACACGGTTAGTATACTTTAAACAAATTGAAAACAAACTTCCAACAAAAATTGTGTATTATCATTGAGCAAATAGTTTTTGTTACATTACTATAAACAACTATAAATAAATAAAAATAATAAGCAATGTTAATAAAAATAATACCAAAAGCTAAATGTGTTATATTTAGCTTAAATATGCACCAACGTGTTTTATTGTAAAACTAAAACTACCCTCAAAAAATATAGCTATAGAAATTTAAGAAAATTGTTTTTTTTTTGAATGAGAACAAGTTTATTAAATAACGGAAACGTGCATGTATACATTTTGAAGAAGAGCAAGAAAATACCAGCGAACAAAATACGGCCACACCAAAACCGGGCTGGTATTAAATCTCAAACCGACGGTCACACTTTACAACCGAGCGCGCAAGTAACAACAATTTTGTTTTGCTCATTTTTTTTTGCTTTCCGAGGACACACCGGCGACCATGAAGCGCACTAAGGACGAGGACAAGGAGGAGTCGCCGTCCCAGCCGGTGACCCACAATTCCAGCGCCGGCAGCAACGGCCACGACGCCCCATCTCCGGTGGCGGCCACATCTGCGCCGGCGGCCACCTCCTGCGCCGTTCCGGATGCCTCGGCCTCTGGAGCCTCCGTTCGCACGACGGGACGCGTGAAGGTGAGTGTGTGATTGGAATTGGCATTGGAATCCCAATCCCCGAGCAACATCCCGGCTCATCTTGCCCAACCATCCATCCGCTCGCCGCAGAAACCCAAACTGGTGTACGATCCCTCCGACAACTATGTGTCCCGGGCCAGCAGCAATCGCAGTTCCCTCGGCGCAGCTGGAGCCGCTGCAGCTCCTGCCACTGTCATTCCCGGTGTCCAGCAGTCATCACCTGCCAAGGATGCAGCCAAAGAGCTGGTGGCCAGCGATTCCCAGGACTCCATACCCAATACGGCCGTTTCCGAGCAGCAGCCGGCGCAGAATCGCAACTACGACACGTGCCAGAAGTGCTCCAAGAGCGAACCGAAGCGGGGATCCGGCCACAAGAGCAACTTTCTCACCTGCAAGGGCTGCATGCAGAAATGTAAATATTCCCCAAACTGTTCTGGTACTTTGGCAGATTGCCCCAGATCTGCCCAGTTTGTCAAGGCAATTATGTTTTTTAAGTATTGGATCAGTAGATTTCACTAGATAAGCAGGGCTCCCAAACCACTACACTGTTATGGACACATTTGTCCAGTTTGTCAATGCTTTACTGCTACCCTACTAGTTCCTGGTACTTTGCCAAATTCTTGAACTACGAATATTAATTACCATATATTTAGCTATTTTATGCAACCAGATCAAATGCTTGCAACAGGTATAAAGTATACCTACACAAGGCCCACTTTTTGGTGCTAAGAAGATTTGGGTTAATGATTTAAAAATAAACGCCCTTAAATTTAGAATATTACCTTTTAATGGCGTTATGCTCGTCAATTTACCCATATTTACCCACACTATACATTAATTTAGGTTTTCAAAGCAAAATTTGATATCTGTAAGTGTTATTAGATTACTATATCTTCACAGAGATAATAAGAAGATAATGCTGCTTACAGTTCACGAAGCTCATTATCAATATCATTTAACTTTTTTTTTCTAATTTGCCTATGGATTTCAAATAGTTTTGAATGGTTCAAGTAATCTCAAACCATTTTAAAGGCTTTAAATAGGTATGTTTGGTAAAGATTTATATCTGGAAATCATAATATGACCACACTTACATGCACATATATATTCATCACCTGTTTCCTGTCTTCTTTCAGGGCACTTTCCCTGTTTGCCCATCAACTTCGAGAACCAGAGCCTGGCCCGCAAGAAGTACAAGTGCGAGAAGTGTCGCTACTGCCAGGTGTGCAACGTGAGGGGTCGGGATCTGGCCATCTGCAGCAATTGCGTGGACGCCTACCATGCGGACTGCAATGATCCCACCATCAAGCAGGCCAAGTCAGTGGACACCAATCCCAAGTGGAAGTGCTTCCGATGCGAGGCGAGTAATAGCGGCCAGAACACCAGCCCTTCCAGCGAGGAGCAGGCGGGGGGCAGGAAGTCCAACGCAAGTCGCGAGGAGCAGCCAGTGACGGTGGTGGTGGCGGCCAGAAAGTCCAATGCGGGTCGCAAGAAGCGCGTCCAGTCCGATCCCACGGGTCAGGAGAAACCAGCAAAGATTGAGAAACTGGGCAAACGCAGTCCACCTTTGAAAATGGACGAGAAAAAAGAGAGGAAGGAGGTGGCCAAGGAGGAGAAGGTGGAGAAGATGGAAGAGCAGCGGGAGCAGCCAGTGGTGGTGGTCAAAGTGGAGAAGGTGGAGCAGGAGGAAGATGATGGGGAGAATAAGCATGAGCACATGCAGCCAGAGCATCCCTCACGTCTAACGCCACCGCCTCCTGCGGCCGCAGATAGCCCCGTGGACATCAAGGGCCAGCCTGTGTCCAGCTGGTCCGTGGAGCAGGTCGTCGGCTTTGTGGCCAAGCACTATCCGAAGGAGGCGAACGTGTTCCGCTACCAGGACATCGATGGCGCCTCCCTGCTGCTGCTCACCCGCCAGGATGTGATGAACGGATTCGGCCTGAAGCTGGGACCGGCGCTGCGCGTCTTTGAACTCGTCATGTCCCTGCAGAGTCGCTCCGACGACGTGAGACTCGCCTGGTTCGAGTAGCATCGAGTAGAACCGCCACCTCCTTAGCACCTAAGATCCTTGCGCCGCACTGTAACTTTAATCTAATAAACTCGTCTGGAGCGTGGCCTTGTATGCTGGCCACCAATAAAAGCTTATATTAAGTCTTCCGGCGGATGGTCTGGCCTGCGCTCCAGTTTTTAAGCTGTTCTTCTGTAATTCTACACTTGCATCTGCTATATTTGCAAAACAAATATGACTTTTATTCAAATACATTTTTTTTCAAATGTGGAAAGCCAGGGGGTCGCTAGTTTATTGACGGGAAGGTATCAAAAAGATAGATAAACCAAGGCACGTGACACTTTTGTGGGCAACTAACCTCGTTGAAAACCCATTTGGAACGGTCTCATCAAAAAGTAACAAACAAAGAATTTCTGAGTTAAAACTATAGAAAATCGTTCTTCTTAATATTTTTTTTTTTTTTATAATTTTACCAAACTCTAAATAAATCGAGAATCCTAAGTACACACAACTTTGAATGCGCATTTGAAATAACTTCGCAAAGTTAAATGCATATTTTTATTTAAACAAAATGACAGAATATTGAGAGTTGCGTTGACTCGATATGGAATCACACTTGTAACGCTTGGCGACTAATTCGACTTCAGTACAAATATCAGGGAAGAGTCCGAAAATATAATTTTATGTACGCGAAAAAAAAAGATTCTGTGGACAATTCGAAGCCATTTTCCATAAGGCTCAGGATGGATGATAAGTTATTCAGAGGGCTTTGAAACAAATGAACATTATATACTCAAACACAATTCATGATACTTGAATAATACTGCTGAGAATTGCCCAAGAAACTAATTTAGTATGAAAATAGTATATCTCAACCTAATCTCAGGTTCAAGTTGATATTTACAAAACAATACAAAATTTGTTTGGCATTCCTTAGCTTTAATAAAGGATTTATCAAAACGATGTATTACCATTTTAATATCTATACTTTAAAGTAGCTGGTGAACGCCCTAATTATATTTATATTATTTAAATAATTAAGTATTGTTATCGTTTTTCGTTTCCTATACATTAAAACTATCGTTTCCCAGCGGAAAGTGCTACGAATTGTCCAGACATTAATATCCACCCTAACATATATACACACAACGTGGGGAATATCAAGAACACTAGATACAATCATCGAACGGTCTCCGGGTTGTCGACAAATACTGATGACAGATCCAGATTCATCCAGAGTTAGACGCGCGGCAGCAGCTTCTCCTCGTCGCCGCCAGGACCCTGCATGCTCGACTTTGGAGCCGATCTGGCCGGATCGTAGCCATATAGAAAGATCGAAGCGATGACCAGGCCAGCTCCGAAGCTGAACTGAAGCGTGAGATTGAAGTCGAAGATGTAGATGGAGGCTACGCACGAGATGATGATGGCCAGCGAGGTGGCGAAGCCCTTGAGTATGTTGTCCGCATACTTGACCACCACGGCCACGATCAGGCCGCCGCCGGCCTGCAGCAGGACCAGATACCAGACGAATACGTCGTAGCCATGGAAAAATCCCTGCTCGAAGATCCGGCTGCCGTCGTTCACGAGGCAGGTGAGCAGGCCGAAGGGAATGCTCAGCAGGCTCAGCTGGACGTTCCTCATCCACACGGAAATCTCGGCACCCTTGAGGATCTTCTCGAAGTAGATGCCAGCGAATCCGGACAGAAAGCAGGCGCCCAGTGCTGCCCACAGTCCGAGCATCCTGTTCTGCTCGGGTGCTCCGCCAGCGGAGGAGGCGGCGGCCGTGGCCGCAGCTCCGGCTCCGGCTCCATCGGCTGGACCGCTCGACGGGCCCACAGTTTGGGCCAACTGCACCAGAACGATGCCCATCACCAGGAGCAACAGCGCACCCCACTGGGTGTTGAGCAGCTTGCGACGCAGTATCACCACAGCAAACATGGCCGTGGTGAGGATCTTTAGCTGGTACGTCACCTGGTAGGTGGCCGCATCCAAGTGCGAGGCGGACACATACAGCAGGTTGTTCTGGACGATGTACACCAGCGAGGGCACGCACACCTTCAGCGTGTCCATGGGATTGGCAATGATGGTCTTGTGCAGCGAACGGACGAACTTCTGGGCATCCTTGCCCTCCTCGTTGAAGACCAGGAACAGGCACGTGATGAGTTTGGCGAACTCGGCCATTAGCACGGCTGCAAACGAGGGCGGTAAAAGCAATTAGTGGGTACAATTTCATGTGAGGGCGATAGAGATCTGCCGGCACTGCGTAAAAACCATTCTGGGCTTATGACAATTAAACACTACCTTTATTACCAAAGCGTCCATTAAAAAAACTAAAAAGTTATTTATATTTAATCACTGAGTTATATTTTTGGGTATTCAAAGGCGTAAAAAGTAACCCTAACAGTTTTACGGGCGACGATAGCTTATCTACAATCCCACTTAAATGGTTTTGTACCTATAGGCTCTAAGAATTGTAATTTAAATTCAAATTTACAAAATATTAATAAAATATTTGGTTGTGTAAAAATTTTCTAAATTAAAAACGAGTGACTAATGAAATGGAATAGAAAATTAGATACTAAACTAGGAATACCTTGTATTATAAAGGTACATTTTTTTTAAATCTAATAACGCATAAGGTCAACTAATAAAAAAAAATGGTAACACTTGGTGTAAGCCTAGGAATAGTTTAAAAAAAACTTGTGGATAGCCTAAAACCAAAAAAATTAAAAGATTAAAAGACTTGGAATTCCATAAACTCAATAGGGAATCTACAATTTTGTTCTAACTGTTGGGAAAGACCGAAACAACTTTTATCTAACTATTAGGTGCCCCATGCGGAAGTGGCTGCTTATCAGCTTCCTCGGCCGCTTCACATCTACCCGAACGGCCATTCCCTGCCTGCTTTTTCTGCACCTCCACCTCCTCCTACTGTTTTTTTTTGCTTTTTCTGCTGATGTTGCTGCTTGCGTGGACAGACCCACGTCGAGGGTTCGTGGAACTACCAGGGTGAATCGAATGAACCAAAAGAACCCGGTGAACTGAATGAACCCGGTGAACTGAATGAACCCGGTGAACTGGATGAACCCAATGAAGCTGACAACCCGTTGGAGGGCACAACTAATACTCACCCGTGGAACTGAGGAAGATGTCGCCCGGCCGGGTGCGGGCATAGCGCATGCTGAGACCCAGGATCGCATTCTGCAAAGTCAGCGTCAGCAGGCTGATGTACTTCAGCGTATTGGCGTTCACTTGGCGATGGGAATAGGAATAGGTGACGGGTGCGGGCAGGAGCGCCATGTCAGTACGGCTGGAGCAACGCCACTCGACTAAAGGCCAAATACTCTACTCACTGTGTATGTTCATGCTGCTCTTTTGTTAGTCGCGCAACTTCAACTCCAAAAACTCCAAAACCAATAGAAACAGAAACCGAAACCGAAACCAAAACCAAAGGCAAACAAATGCCGGGAGTTTGCTATACAAACGGCCTCCGTTTCTGGCCAAGATCGTTCAGTTGTCGGTGGAGCGTTCTGTGCGGCGGTGGCGGATCGCTGCGTTCAAGTTGGCCGGAGGAGGAGAAAAGAAGACGACACCGGATCGCGACACGTAAACAACAATCTGAGCCCCAAGCTTCTGCCATCGGCGACTTTTTTATCGCAGCGCCGTCCATGTGGTTGTTGTTATTGTTGCTTTTGCGGCAGCGGCCGGCACTTCGATAGCCACCAGTGATGGCCAGTGCGCGCGACAATCTTCGATGCATGCGAAAAAAAAGCTAAAGTTGCATACAAAAAAAAAGCTAAAATTGGCTATATGCTCAAAAAAAGCTATAGTTGGAAAATGCATTTCCGATTTCCCGGTTTGGTTTATTCTCATACCCTTCACTGTTTATAAGACTAGCAATTCAGAAATCAGTCTTAGATTTCAGAAGTTAATCAAACGAGTACAAATTTCTTAAATTTCAACTCTAGTGGTTGTTCAGCCTGTTTTGTTTTTGTTTTGTTATCTCATTTCCTAGGCGAAACGCATAGAAACAAAAATCAAGATTTAAAATTTATAATGTGCTTTGTTTGAATTAATATTGTTTTTATTTATTCAGGTGCTGATATATATACGTCACATTAAAAAAATAAGCTATTTTAACCAGTCAATGGTAAACAAAATTGACGAGCCATAAAACTACAGAAAATATGTATTTGTTTGATAAGTCAGTTCTAAAATAGTGCCTTAAACTTATATGAAAGTCCTTGCAAATTTTCATATGGCAACAAAATAAAGTAGAATTTAAAAAATTGTAAACAAAACAAATATTAGGCCGTTATTAATTGTATAGCTTTTATTGTTTGCATAACGCAGCTGATTGTTATCGATACTGCGCTGCTCATCACTAGCCAGTGCTTTCGCCAACCCAGTTATCGATAACACATTTCCGTGTGGCGATTTGGTTTGCATATTTACAAAAAGTTGGTAACTTTTTGGGAAATTGTGAAACTCAGAGGAGACAGGATGCGGGAACAGCCACTGAAGGAGGTCACGCAGCTGATCCACGCCATCAAAGTGGGGTAAGTGGGTTGAAATTCGTTCTGGCCACGCACTAAATGGGCAATCTCCCGCAGGATGGTAGAGGGATCCTACAGCATAACCAACAAGACGCTGGACATCTTCAAATACATCATCATGAGCAAGAGCTGGCAGAACGCCGAGTGAGTTGAACATGTGCCCCCGGCCAGTATAACCCATGGACTAATCCCTTTGTGCAGTGCCCTCATGCAGATTGTGCGCACCCAGTGCAAAATCCTCCAGGCAGCTCTGCCCCAGGAGACGGTCACCTCAAATATTGCCCGCAGGATCCTGAAGCTGACGCGCGAGGAGTTCGACCTGCTGCACGCCAAGGTGCAGCACTTCGCCGACGACTCACAGGCCTCGCTGTCGCTCCACAAACTGGTCACCCAGACCAGCGAGAGCAACGTCAGCGTGGACTACTCGGTTCCGCAGCAGGGACTGCGGGAGGCCCTGCTCGACCACCTGCAGGAGGTGGAGACGGAGCTGGAGACCAGCTCGGAGAACATTTGTGTGCAGGCCGAGGAGCACATCCACTCCTCGGAGATCATCTTGACCCTGGGCCACTCGCGCAGTGTCGAGAGCTTCCTCAAGCGGGCGATCAAGAAGCGCCAGTTTCTCACCATCATCGTGGCCGAGTGTGCGCCTGCCTGTCGCGTGAGTTGTGAGCCTCCAGGGGATTCCGCTTTGTAATAGTAGAATATTTCAAAGGGGCATTCTTCTGGTTGTCTTAAAGTGGGAAACTGAGCTATATGGTTCATCATTAAAGTCACAAAATTAAAGCATTTTAATGTCATTTATGTTTCTATTTCTACTATGATTTTTTTGTGATAATCTTGTAGTTAAGAATGCTAGATTAAGACAGACCTTAAGCTTATTCCCATGTCCTTATTTTTGAACCACTCCATTTGCATATGCCTTTTCTATAGTTTATAGATTTTCTGTTAGCTTACTATTAGGGATTTCGTTGTATTAATGTTTATATGCCTTAATAACTTCCGCGTTCCTATTGCAGGGTCACAATCTGGCTGCCAGCTTGGCGGGTGAGAAGAACGTGGAGATTGTTGTGATTCCGGATGCGGCCATCTTCGCGATGATGTCGCGAGTCAACAAGGTGATCATCGGCACACACAGTGTGCTGGCCAACGGCGGACTGAGAGCGGCCTGTGGCGCCTACACGGTGGCACTGGCTGCCAAACACTACTCCGTGCCGGTGATCGTGCTGGCGCCCATGTACAAACTGTCCCCACTGCATCTGTGCGAGCAGGACGCTTTCAACATGGTCGGCTGTGCGGAGGATGTGATCTCCTACGATTCGATTCCAGCACGCGAGGCCAAGGTCTACAGTCCCATGTTCGATTACGTGCCACCAGAACTGGTCACCCTGTTCATATCCAATACGTACGTAGTGATTTTAATATGTCTCACAACTACTTATAGTGTTATCCTTTAGCGGTGGGCACGCCCCCTCGTATGTGTACCGCCTACTCACGGAACTTTATCATCCCGAGGACCTGGAGATTTGAAACCGAGTTTGACTCGTTACCATTTCAAAAAATCGCCCAATAAACGCTGACCCGAAAATCTTAAAACTAAAAGCCGATCTTTTTCGGGTTTGATCGATTTTAGTCTAATTTTATTTCGTTTGCACGGCCTTCTCACAACACCATAGACTATTTAAACTTCCTGATCGTAAACATTTATAAACTCGTTTTAAATACGCCTTATGTGCATTCGAAAGTAAATGCCTATTTCACAAAACAACAAAACAATGTTTAACAATATTGAATAGTTTTCTTTAGATTTTACCTGAAAGCAATAACAGAACATCAAACATTGCGGTGGATCGGTTTACGTTTTAGGAACATATTAAATTCCACTCCCTGTGATATAATAGCTTCTTCCAGGTAGCTTTTTGTCTCGTTTGATTTCTTGAACCTACTTTTGAACATTGTTGAGCAGCTGCGTGAAGTCCGCCAAGCTATCAGCATAGTAATCCGGCTGGGCCGCCACCGGGGCATTCAACATGTCCTCCTTGGTCAGGCAGCCGCTGAGCACCAGCAGGGATTGGAAGCCGCAGGCCTTGCCGAACTGCACATCCTGCACAAGGGTGTCGCCGATGAAGATGCAGCGCTTGGGCTCCCGGATCTCGAACATTTCGCCAAACATCTCGCCCAAGATGGGCGACGGCTTGCCCAGGAAGGTGGCCTCCCGCTGGGTGTAGCGCTTCACATGCTCCAGAAAGTCAAAGAACCCGGCCACATTGAGGTTCTCCGCCAGGGGCATGACGACATCGCTGCCACCGGCTATCAACTGGCAGTCCTCGTTCTCCTGCAGATGCCTGATGGCCTTGGCCAGCTCAACGTACGAGAGATCCAAGTGGATGTCGAAGAGCACTGCGCCCACTGGCTTCTCAATGGCCAGGTGATCCACTAGCGAGGCGGCCGTCAGGTGTTCCTTGACTTGCTGCCAGGTAAGAAGGTCCAAGTCCGTATTTTAACGTAATATTTATGGGCAAAAAAACTTGTAGTTAGTAAAATAATTAGTGTTTCCTAAATATTTATATATATGTATTTATAAATAGCTTGCAACATAACTTGTAGTTGAACAAATATTAGGTATTATTTAAATATTCATAATATAATTAGTGTGGAACTTTTTTTTAAATTATTTCTTTAAGGAATTTGGCTAGAACTGTAAGTATGTTTACAAAAACAAGTCAGTATTTTATCTTAATATTTAAAAATACTTGTAGTTGGCTAACGATTAAGGTATTTGTTAAATATAATATTCAAAATAATTAGCTTAAAAGTTTTTTTTAATCTTAAAATTATGATGTAGATATTAGTTTTAGGAATAGACTATAATATCACTTTCACGTTCTTTATCATAATATTAATAGGCCAAAAAACTTGTAGTTAGCTTAAAACATTTGCTTGTTTACTAAAATGTAAAAATTTGAATTATATCTTTAATGAAATTTACTTTAGTTGCGTATATTTTCAAATAAAATATTGTTTTATGAATTTATCAATGGTAGTTAATCCAAGTTTTCAGATTGCAAGTCATCGAAAAGCTCCTTAAATTACGTTACTGTTTGTCCTTCGACTGCAAGCTAATAATAACTTATTTTCCTCACCAGCGACTCGAACTCGATGTTGTGCTTACGCAACGTCTCATTGGCTTCCAAGGACATGAGGGAGAAGACCCGCTCCCCCGGCTTGTGCTTCTTCAGGTACCTGACAATGGTCTTCACCGGATGCACGATGTCGTCCTCCTGGACATTCTTGGCCCCAATGTGCCGGAACTTCTCCATGTAGCCCTCCTCGGAGCGGAAGCTGTTGTTGGACACGAACTTGATTTGCTTGCCGGCCGCCTTGAGGGCATTGACGGCGGGACCGGTGTTGGGGATCCAGCCCACCAGGAGCCACACGACGCCATCGCAGTCGCTGATCACCAGGTCGAAGGAGTCGATGAACTGGCGCTGCTCCTCCAGGCTCAGCTTCAGGATGTGACGTGGCGGCGACATGGATATAGGCGGCAATAAATGGCAATAAATGGCAATATATGGCAATATATGGTTAACGATGAACAACGGATGCTGGTTGCGCGCGCATGGAAATTCCACAACCGACTGACTTGGCTTTGCCGGCATTTAACCTTCAATGTCAACGCATTGACATTGTTCCCCCGATTCCCCGGCCACCGAAATATCATATATATATGTTAAGTATCTTTTATTACACGATTTAGCGAACCGACTGGCTGAGTGCCTCGTCCGATAAGATTTTGTATGTAAATAGATGCCTCTTCCGTGTGGGACGTGACGTGAAAGACGCGTGCTTTGCTTATTCCCTAGTCTTATTATCTGTAAAGAAAATCAAAACCAACACAAAAAATGTCTCCTTTGCTTCCTGGCTATCGTTGGCATCGACAAGCAGCTAAAACGTGAGTTCCTAACCTTTATCTAGAAGATTATATTCCAGTATTCTCAATGTCTTATTGAACTTGACTTCTATTTTTTGTTTGAAAATAGCGGTATTTGCAGTAGCACTTTAACTGGTTCGATATATACAATTAAGATATATCGATTTCAAAGTTTACTATCAAACATTATCAAACTTACTGTATTATTTGATTAAGAATAGAGCATATTTTTTATATTTCACTAACATTAAAGTATAATAATCTTCCAAAATGTTATTTTGAATTTAATAGAACTAGTTCGATAGTAAAGTTCACTCAAATGTATCGAGTTTGAAATAATCTCAAATATTTAATGATTGGCTGAAGTCAGCTTCTTAATATTTTAAAAATGTAATCGTTTAAAAGAGTCAAATTTTACTGTTTTATAAATTTTGAAAACCAGTAATTTAGTTTTAGTTAACCATGCTTTCACTTACATGCCAAGGATTGCAATGCATGTTTATTCCAAACGGTGGTCCACTAAATATTCCTTTAATTTTAAAACCACTTCGATATATGTATGTGATTAAAAGCGATTGACAGGAATATCGATCGGTGCATCGGCCTTTTGTTTACACCGTTGAAAGGTATTGCCTATTGCTTTTGTTGTTCTGTTCAAGCTTATAACTATTGCATGCACAAACATGCACAGTGAGCTCCCGGATGAAAAAGAGAAAAAATTCAAAAGTGCATCGGTTTGAAATTTTAATTTAAATTGCTTACGAGTACTTTCCCAAAAAACAGAAATACAACTTATTTACTTGTGTTTCTTTATAAATATAGACCGAGAGACAAAATACAAAAAAAAAGTATGATTGTCCAAAAAAATAAATAGACTAAATTAAACTTTATCATCAAGAAATAAAACATAATTTATAAGTAATTGTTTTTGAAATATGCTATATTTTCAGGTGAATTTTTGTCCCTTCAACAACCGAATCGGTTCACCTTACAGATGGCGTACTGTACCGTGCCCTAGACCATGGCCACACGTTAACACCCTGACATTGATTGCTGCGGCATTTGGCCAACGGAAAACGGCGAAAAACGAGGATTGAAAGTGCAACCGAAACAGAGGAAACCACAAATGGCCAATAATTCAAATTCAAATGCAGCATTCCAATTGGTGGTGTCCGGAAGACACTTGTTTCCACAGCGGAGCAGGCAAGGCAAGGCAAAAACAAAAAAAAAAAAAAGGCAAAGAACTGGCCAACGGGGCGGGCACTTGATATGTGTGTGTCGCTTTGGATTCGGTTCGGTTTGGTTTGGTTTTTGACTATACATATGTGTATTCATATGTCACAAGTCCAAATCGATTGCCGGTGCAAGTTAGTTTAGTTAGGCGTCTCTCTGATAAGATACGAGACTACGAGTACGAGTACGAGTACGAGTTGCGGAGAATTCCGCTGGAAGAAAAGCACACATTGTGGTCCCTGAGCTTGGAGCAACTGTTTCCGCCGGTTATACAACCCTTTTGCAAAAAAAAAATTCTGGAAAATGTCTGCGCTGGCTAACGGTGGACAGGAGGAGGAACTGCAAATTCTGGGCCAACTGAGGAGCATCGAGCAGATCAACGAGCAGCGCCGAATATTCCTCAATGGCACGATCACCGAGGAGGTTTCGGAGGGCTCCAATGGTGCGACCAGCCAGGATGAGAAGGAGGACGACTTGGAGAAGGATCTGAAGCAGTTGGAGCAGCTGGAGACGAAGAAAACACACGACGAGGCTGAGAAGCAGAGAACACCCCCAGAGGAGGTGGACCCAAAGAAGGAGCTGGAAAAGGGGGAGCCGTCCAAGCCGCAGCCCCCCAACACGCTCGCCCTGAATGTGAAATACGCCACCCTTCCCAGTCCCAATGTGGCTACCCTGCGATCCCCGCTCTCGCCGCCTCCCAAGCCGCCCATGTTGGGTCGCACCCGGAGCATAGGTTCCGGCGATGGCAAGAGCAACGGCAACGGCACCGGCCACGGCACCGACAACTCCCTCATCCGCCAGAGCTTTCCCGAGGGCGTGATTAAGATCAGGCCCCAGTCTCCCTCAACTCAAGTCGCAGCCACTTCAACTCCAACTCCTACTCCCACTCCCACTCCCAAAGAAGAAGCACCCGCCACCGTGTCCGCCCGGCATTACGAGGGACTCATCGAGGAGCTGCGGTGTCCCGGATGCGCCGGCGCCATGAAGGCACCTATCCTGCTCTGCAAAAGTGGCCACAGTGTCTGCGAACAGTGCACCCGGATTCTGCTCATGTGCCCACTGTGCAAGGTAACTGAAATTGACGTCAGCCCCGGTCGTTATCAATATCTCAACATCCCCCCCGCCCTCATGTTTTCCTTATCTAGTGACGTGCAAATATTGTAGGTGGAAACTATTGAGAAATTAGACGCAGATTGCCATCATATCATCGACAGGCGCAGGACAGAGTGATCGTGATCTCCGGTTGCGATTACTTTTATTGCCTTTCGGAGGGTGCTCTAATCAATTCTCAAGAGGAGCCACTATCTGCTCTATAAAGTAGTATAAATACACCTTGTCCGTTTGCCCGTTTGTCCGTTTGTCCGTTAGCAACTGGGTTTCAGCAACTGACTATCGAGTTTTTTACAAGGAATTTTTAAAAGTGGTTATAAAGTTTTGTATGGGCTATATTACTTACTTTAAATAAGTTATTAGCCATTCCTATAAATAATTCAAAGTATTTAAATGTTATGGTCTAGTGCGTTAGTTTTTAATATTCGTTATTATTATCTCGAATTTTAAATATCGTTTTTTCTTAAGGGAGAAGGATGCTCAATTAATTCTCAAGACGAGCCATATTAATATTTTCGATATTTTATGAACTGACTATAGAGCTTTTTATAAAATATACTCCTTACTACTAATAATACAAATTATTATAATCGAATAGGTCTTGTCCGGCAGCTTCTTGTTTTCCTTATTATTATTTGCTGAAATTTCAAATACGCCTTTAATTTTTTAATTCTTAAGAGGAAACTTTATCTGATTTCTAAAGTGTCATACATAATTATATAAGGTCTTTATTATTTTGGTAAGTTTGTTCCCTAACTAAGTATCTGCCTTCTTCACTACAAATATGTACATATTTATCTTATAAATCCTTTTAAGTTTCGGTAATAGAAGATAAAGTCAAAAAGTCTTATTTATGAGTAATGTATCTATAATAATTTATCAAAGTTAGATCTCTAAAATAAGTACTAAATTACAGAAAAGTTCACATAATCATTACTCTTTAAAAACAAATGCATTACATATAATTACCCAATTACACCTTAAATATTAAACATTAAACCTGAGTATTGTATTATATAGATCTGTGGTGTTTGGGCCACCATTCATACCATCTTCATTCTATAAAAACAAATGCTTTTCGTATATAATTGCCCATTAGTAATTAGTAATGCCATGTCCTGCTGCCTTAGGAACCCTTCACCTCCTCCCGATCGCTGACCGTGGAGGCGCTCTGTGCCAAGGCGCACTTCCGGTGCGGACACGCCTCCGGCGGCTGCCAGGTGCGGATGCCCGTGGTGCTCCTGCCGTGGCACGAACAGCAGTGCATGTACAAGCCGATGAAGTGCTTCATGGGCCGCGTGTGGGGCGATTGCCGCTGGCAGGGACGCGAGGTGCAGTGGAAGGAGCATCTGGAGGGGGAGCACGGCGACCGCCTGTTCCGCGCCGGCAGCGCCGATCTGGAATGGAATCTGGCCACGCGCCGGAAGCCGCTCACCGGCTACTACGTCTTCCAGGCGCACGACGAGATGTTCAACTTCTACGAGATCCACGACCGCCAGCGGATCCTGTTCACCATGACCTGCACCTCGAACCGGCGGGACAGCAAGTACAACTACGCCTACGAGGTGACCGTGCTCCAGCCGGACAACGAGGCCCTCTCCATGACCCAGAAGTTCCCCGTGCACAGCGAGTACGACAAGGACATCCTCATGGAGGGCACCTGCGTCAGCATTCCGCTGACGGAGCTCAACCGCTTCCTGGACCAGGACAAGGTGAGTTCTGTGCAGGATTTGTACTCTATTATTGTACCCTGCTGTATTACTTGGTTAAATTTACCACAGTGGTAAGTATTTGATTTTCACGATCAGAGTTCCCCGAATTTTTCTTATCGCCCGTTAGCTGGAATATATTATCAAACCTTATCTGCGCTTTTTCACTAGCTTCGAAAAGCGTTTTATGGCTTCTTTAACCGAAAATAGAACAAACTGACAATCCTATTATTTATATACACACGAACAAAACGCAGTCCCAATTATCAAATACAAACTAAATTTGATCATTTGGAATTTCGTTTTTAACAACTAAAAGTTATCTGCACATATAACGTGCAATTTTTTTTAACCAGCTTCTTATATGGCAAAATTATTTTATAATTATAATATATATAAAATGTAAAACATTATTATTTATAAGCACAGATCAAATTCAATCCAAGCAAATATTCGGGCATTAAAAACATTGTATATATGATATAAAATATCACACATAATAATTTCGAATTTAGTTTTCTAGAATTAAACTCTATATGCGCTTATTAAAGCAATTTATTTTACCACCTACAATACGTTGCCTATTAAACGCATTAAAAATATAAAGTGGAATTTAAAAGCAAACCTATTTCAAACTTTATTTTCAAGATATAATTTCGTTTAAAAAAATTAAACAAAAAAAAAATTTTGCTCATCTTAAATTTTTGAGTGAAATGGCTAATTTATAATTTTTTAAATAGGTTTTGAATAAGAAAAAAACCTTTTTGTGATTAATCCGAAATATCAAATATTAACCTTTATATGTTAATCTTTAACTTTTAGATGAAATTGCGAGTTTTTAAATTTTTTAAATAGGTTTTTAGTAAGTGGAAACTAAAAAAGAAAGAGAACCTTATTGTGATTAATCAGAAATATTTGTATATACAAATGTATTTCTATTGAAATTAATTTAAATTAATCTGCATTATTGGCATATAAAGCGTAAAAAGACAAACCATAGCACGATCTTAAATAACGCCCTTTGCCATTTGGCAGGTTCTCCACTACCGCGTGAGTGTGCTGGCGGTCAAGTCACCGCGCCGGGCGAAACCTCCTCGCCAGAGTCTGCCACATCCCGTAGACCTGGAGCAGACCGCGAACGGCGGAGTCAATGGGAAGAGCGTGCCGACCAGCATGATCATTACGCGCACGTATAAGGAGGCCATTGGCGAGGCGACGGCTGCCCAGGCCAACAGGGCAGAGGTGGCCAGTCCGGACTCGGAGGAGGATGTGGTGGCCAGCGGCGATGGCGATGGAGATGGCGCCGGGGGACTGGAACTCGAGCGCAAGTGGGGCACTCCGCAGCTGCACTTCAATCGCAAATATCTGCGAAACACTCTGAACGACTCGACGCCCCTGGAGGACGAACTGCGTCCTCTGGCCGGCGATCTGCGCAACGAACATGGCGACGACAAGCTCTCCCAGTGCAGCAACAGCACGAGTTACACGAAAAAGGTATCCGATTCGCTGAGGAGAAGCTTCCGGGCCCTCAAGGCGGACTTGGTTGAGATGCGGCCGTTCAGCAAGAAGCCAGTCAAAGCAGGATCCCCAAATGCAGTCCAGACTAATGGCAACTAGCGATTCCATACGTGTTTTCCTCCTTTTTTTTTTTTTTGTGGTAACTTATTCAATTTTCTAACACTCCACATAAAAGCATGTAAATATAGCAAATGTTTTAAATCTAATGACATATGTATGTACTTAAAACATAATAAAATGTAAATTAAAATATTTACATATTTCTGTTTTGTAACAAACTGAAAATATGAAAATAAACTATTCAAAATATTAAAGTGGGCCGAATGAAAATGGAGCCTGTTGTCGCTGTCAAAAAAAAAAAACATTGTTCTCAATTACTTGCCTTATCCTGTGCCCAAGTACTTAGTGAAACGCCTTAGGTATTTGGTTTGGATGACTCATTTTATCTAGGACTTAGACTACACAATTTACAGGACTCGCAGCTGGGGCTACAGCAAGCCCTGCATTTCGTTCATGAACTGCAGATAGGCGTCGTCCTTGGTGGGCGGCTTGCTGTGCGTCTCCGAGGGGGCGTGGTGGCCATCGTTGGCCGCATGCCTGGGCCTCGCCATCCGGCGTTGATCCTCGCGCTTCACGCGCAACGTGGACGGCACGAAGCGGGTGACATCCGCACTCAGATTCCTGATAAATAAATTTGTTGCCATTATGTGGTGCATATATATATAACATATACATATATTAAATAAGGGTAGTCACAACCCACCTGATTTGTGGTTTGGCTGTAATGGTGGTCACCCCCTTAGCCGACTCCTTGGGCGGACCTCCGCCGCCTCCCTGCTTGTTGTGGTGGGCGAGACGAGGTGGCAGGCCCGGCGGCGGACCCGGTGGCATCCTGATGCCCATGCGGGGCATCGGTCCCAGTCCATGAGGCGGCCTGGCTCCCGGCGGCGGTCCAGGCGGCATGCGCAGGCCGAAGCCGGAGCCTGCGTGCGGTGGCCGCATGGGCGGCGGGCGGTACATGATGCCCGGTGGCCCAAGGCTGTGCAAGGGCGGTAGTTGGGGCAATTGGGGTGGCGCTGGCACCGCCGACGCTGGTGGCAGTGGAATAGCCGGCAGAGTGGGCGCCGTCGGAGGAGCTGGTGTTGGCTGTGATGGCGCAACGGAGGAGGAGGCGGAGGAGGATTTTACTGGCGCTGGCTTGGCCGACAGTTCGGCCATTTTCTCATCCTCATCCTCATCCTGATCGGCGTCGCTGTCGCTACTGCTGTCGGATTTCCTATCAGAGCTAGAGTTGCGTTCTTGCCGCTTCTCGGACTCGTCGTCATCGTCCTCGTCCCGGTCCCGCTGTTTATCCGCCTCGTCCTCCTTGGCCGCCAGTTTGCGATGCTTGCGCTTGTGCACATGCTCCATTTCCTTCATGAAGTCATCGATGTTCTGGTTATTCGGTTCGCTGGCCTCCTTGTCCTTGTCCCTGCTCTTCTTGTGCGACTCCTGCTCTTCCTCCTCGGCCTCGCCATCGTAGTCCGTATTGCCCTCGGCATCGGAGTCGAGTTCGGAGAGGGCAAACAGATCTGGCGGCGGTCCCGGTGGGACACCCAACCAATCCTTTTCCTCGTCTTCCTTGGACTTCTCCGCCTGCGCCTCGCTGGCCGTTGCATCGCTGTTCTTGACCACGCCTGGCGGAGCCCCGGGGGCATAGGGCGGCAGGGCCATGGTCATGGGCGGCGGGGGCAGGCGTATGCCAACGGCGGCCCCAAATCCGCCGACAACGGGTCCGCCAGTGGGACCGGCGGGACCGCCTGGAATGGCCGCCGACACCGGAGCGGGCAGGGGAATCTCATCGATCTGGACGCTCTGGGCGTGCTTGACGCTCTCGTAGTACTGCTGCTTCTTCAGACGCTTCTTCTCGTACTCCACCTCTTTGCGCTTGAGGTCCGCCCAGTGCTCGGGCTCGTCGTTGTGCTGGAAGCGTGATAAGTGGGCTGATTAGGGGGCTTTATTTCAACAGGCACTCGGGCCAATCTTACATAGAGGCGCATCACCCGATCGAAGGTCTCCTTCAGCTTCTTTCGCTTGTCGCGCAGCACCTTCTCGTTCAGCGGCGACGGCTGCAGCACATTGTACTCTGCAAAGCGGAGGCACTGCATCAGTGAATGGTTATAATGCTTGCTTACCCGGCTACCCACCCATCTCGTCGATCTTCTCCATCTCCTCGAGTATCTGTGAGGGATCCTTGTTCTTCAGGACCGCCGCCCGCACCATTTGGCGCTGCCTCTTATTCTTCTTGAGCTCCTTTTTGCGAGCCTCCTTGCCTGAAAGAAAGCGCCTGGTGGGTTCAACACTTCGCCGTGGGCCAACTATCGTACTTACGCGCCTGGTCCGTGGGATTCATGTACTTGCCACTCTTGGTGGTGTTGATGGAGCGGCGCCCCATCTTTGCGGCGAGTTATATTGGCTGGCAATTAGCAAAATATAACTTTAAACCTAAGCGGCGGCGTTTTTTGGTGCCCAAGTAAAAATAAACAGTAGTCTAGTGCTGGAAAATGTCATGTGCTCAGTGTGGTAAAACATGGCAACTCAAAAACTGTCGGGAAATAGCTAATTGCCATCAGAAAAAAAGCTAAGCTGTAAAACACTAGATTCAAATTAGTACAAGCTAGTTGGAAAACTAAAAAACTAAAACTAAACTGACTAATTAATTAAAATATATGTGTTTTCGTAACCTCTTGTGAATTTGGAATTTTTTTTTCGCTGACCAATTCCGTGCCGAAATTGTTAGGTAGCGCGCAAAGCAAATAACTAACAAATAATATTATATATTACGTGTTTATTTCATTTTATTTGTTATTTTTGTCCAAAAGGTGTCTACTTAAACTTATCCAAATAGTCGTTAATCGGTAATCGGGTTCCCATCCAACAAATTCTCTTATACTTTCATATTCAAAATACAAAAGCCGGGCGAAATAATTGAAAGGAATTAGGAAAAAGGATTTTTTTTACATATTGCCCAACAGAGTTTACTACATATGAAGGATTGAGGTATTTGATTCCTATCTAAGCAATTTGGCTATTCTATCACATTGAACTGCCAAAAGCCAGCTTTTAAAGATATTTTTTTGGGTACCATTCTCTCCTCATTAAAACTCTTTAGTCTCCTCGTTTACTATGACACTTGGTTTTCACTTACATATAATGTCTTATTTAAGAAATACCACTGTTTAATTAATCGGAATTTAATTTGCTATGTCTATTTAAGTGCTTAAATTATTCAACAATACTATATTTTCTGGTTTTAATTTACCCGCTATAAGCCAATACTGCCCAACACTGCCGTTAACAGAGCTACCCGGCGGCAGCACCTGCGGCCGTTATCCAACACTGACCGTTGAATGAAGCCGCAAAAAACAAGAAATTGGTTTTGCATGCGATGTCGTCCTCAAACCATAATCCAGACAAAAGTCTGACGGAGATGCTCATGAACTGTCACCTGGACGAGAGCCATGTCGATCCGGTAAGTTGTGACTTTTCTGTCAGCCGAGTCAAACCAAACACCAATCCAATCCCAATCATTTCGTGTCGCCGTGCAAGGCGCCCCAATCCCAAATCGAAATGAACACCAACGACAGTGTTTCATCCATGGACGCCGACGAAAGTAGCAGCGTTATTTCGGTGTCGTCGATTGATTCGTCAATAGTCAGCTACCTGCACACATCCCAATTCATCTCGTCCTCGGAAGTGTCCCAGGGAACCATCACCATAGAGGAGACCACCACGGACAGCGAAGCTGCCCTGTCCGCCAGCCGTGAGTTCCCCCCCCCGCGTCAAAACAATAACACGCCCGGTTGTAACACCCACATTTCCATATCGATTGTCCTAGGTCCTGGTTCCGCCGACGTCGGCATGAGTGCCAGCACCTCTCTGAAGCGGCACTCCCCAGATCCCGGGATCGATGATCTGGAGATCAAAAAACGTAAGTGGACAGCCGGTTGGCCTCTTGCCGAGATGGTGATCTGGGTGAATGTTGGGCATCCATAGGCCAGATAGCATGTGCAATCCTTGTGCGCGTTTCTCCTGCTCATGCCAAGCCAAAAGTGGATTTTAAACTGCACATTTTGATACATTTCGTTCAGTTTTAAACCTTTTTTGCAGTATCATGTGGACGAGAAAACGGCCCTTTCATTGCCAAACTAAAAGATTCGTTTATAAAATGTATACTTTTCTAATTTATATGGCCTTGTCCTTAATCCCAATCAGGCTACGAAAATATTCCACCACGTCAGTGTTTTTCAAAAAACAACCTAGTGTACATTATATGTTATTATGTATTTGTTGAACTCCAAATCTTGTTTATGGAACATTACTGGAATTTCCATTTTCAAGTGTATTTTCTATTTTATTTAATAATAATAATTCGTTTGCAGGTCCTAAAATGAAATATTCTGAAACTAATTTTTCTAAATGACAAACAGGAACATATTTCAACCACAGTTAATTTATAAGCCAAAATATTCTTAACTTGAGAGCATGAGCAAAATCACTGAATTTAATGTTATCCACAGGTTTCAGTAGTTTTAATGATGCTCTAGTTGAATAAATAGAATTTTTTTATCGTACTGGGATGCGAAATGAAAGACCAATGATGAACAGGGCCTTATTTTAATGTTACTTAAGCCTCATTGCAAACTCGTTTAATCTTATTGCACAATACTTGACTCCTAAAAGATTTTGTATATTTTGGTGGAGCTTAAGTTGACCATTAACTAATTGCAGACCAAAAATAATACCAACGTTTTTGAATTGACTTTATGTTTTTGTATCACTGGACAAGTATTAAGAACCCGGACGAAGAATACTTGTTGAATCAATAATTAAGTAACTCCTGGGGTATATATGTATATATTTTAGTTGCCTTAGGTCCCAGTACAAGTGCTGCCGCCGAAGTCGTGTCCTCAATGAGGACTCCATTGAAGCGAGGCTCCGCGAACCACGATGGGAATGGTCCTTCGGTTAAGAAACGTGAGTTGGAATGCTGGAATATATACCGGCTCATTCAACCACAGCAACACAGCAACACAGTATTTTTGAAACTAAATTAATGCTCAAGTCTATGCCATTGCCTTCTTACTCGTTTTTACGGATAATGACTAATACTACTGCGCTATAAAAAGCAAAAAGTTTCTAACGCTTCACTAGGTAAATATTTGAGAGATCCATAAAGCTGATGAATGTATTTCTTTCAAATGCGAACGCATGAGCAGTAAATTTCTAATGCATTGATAATCTCCTCTACATTTGTTTTATATACAAATAAAATGTGGTTTTCGAGGAAATATATCATGGTTAAGTAATCCAATTATGTGTTTTTGCCCGATTGTATATCCCAAAAGCATATTTTGCCTAATTTGAATGGCAGTGAGTCGTCTAACATTTTTAACAATTTGAAATCGTCACAAGATTGATTGACCGGCCAAAGACGAATCCGTGTGAGAAATTAGTTCTACTTGTGAACCTAGAATAGTAGAATATGTAGTATATGTGAATGTCGTATTAGAAAACCCATTTTTAACGGAAACCATTATGTTTTATCATTATCATAACGCAGCTCATCGCGATCCGGACGTCGTGGCCACCCCATCGAATCGCTTGGTCGTCACACGCAGTGGACGAGCGGTTGTGTTGCGCAAGGACCTGCAGTTCGACTACACCTCCTCGCAGGGCAAGGACGAGGAAGAGGACGCGGACGAGTCGGACGATCCGTCGCTGGAGACCGACGACGAGGGTGACGCGGACTACCAGCTGGCAGCCACCTTCGAGGAGCCCCTGGGGAGCCAGTGGCCGTGTCGCAAGCGACGCAGCATTGGGAACAACAGCAGCAGCAGTGCCTCCAGCACCGACGACAGCCACTCCTCGCCGGAGTCGCCGGTGCTGCCCATCATCTTCCTAGAGTTGGGCCTGCCAGTGGCCATCGTGCGGCAGGAGCCGCAGGCCGATCTCGACTTGGAGGCCGATGGCGAGCTAAAGACTAAGGTGCACAAGTTTCTGGGTCTGGTGGCGCACCGTCGCAAGCTGTACAATCCTCACGAGAACGGCGATGCAGCGGAACCGCCGCAAATTGGCAAGGAGGTGGCGAACCTATCGCTCAGCTGCCTGCTGATCAATTCCATCTGCTCGCCCGCAAAACCAGGCACAATGCCATCGCCATCGCCATCACCATCGCCATCGCCATCGTCAGTCCAGCGCCTCAATGCGCCGCCAGCAACACCGGCCAGCTCCTCGTGGGCAAGCCTGAACCTGTCGCACCTCAACCCGCCCACCCAGAAGGAGCGCCAGACGAAGATGTTCGACAACTTTGTGCTGCTGGCCAATGCCAATTCCTTCGAGGCGGAGACGCCCGACTTCCTCAAGGAGCCCATCGATCTGAGCGAGCTGCCCAGCCATCGCCAGCGGGCGATCATATGCCGTCGCCACAAGGGCAGCGTTCCCTGTCTCGACAATCATCCCGACTTCTACCGCTTCGTGGAGTCGCTCGATCGTGAGTTGTGCCAGAGTCGCAGAGCTTGAATGCCGACGCGTTAATCTCTTGCTGCCTTTCCAGCGGTCACCTCGATCAATTTCTGCCATCCGCTGGCCCTGGACTATCGCCAGAAGAACTTCGAGAGCTGCAAAGTGGCTCTGGCCAAGCGGCTCTTCAACATCTTCAATCACGCCATCTTCCGCTGCGGCCTGGTGGCCCCCATCCTCTGGAAGCGCGGCATTGGCACACCCTGCAAGGCCGAGCTGGCCATCGACGCCAACGGCAAGCGGACCGCCCGCATCCTGCTCTGGGAGCACATCAGCCACCCGTGCATGCTCATCAAGTCGCTGCTACATGAAATGATCCACGCGGCGGCCTTTGTTTTCAACCGGGAGACGGGACACGGCGACAGTTGCCGCAGATGGTAAGATCGAGATCATTCGTTTATTCATTAACGGGGGAGTAGGGTTAATTCGTAGAATAATTGATTATTTTTTTTTTTTTTAAACACATTTATGAAATATTATACAAAAATATCAATATTATAGTATATATATATAGTATAGTATATATTATAGTATATAAATATTATAGTCATTTACAAAAAAAATCCTCTTAGTTCTTGCTCTTGCGGTGCTTATTCATTTGAACCTAAAAACTCAAAATTATATATCTTTTTTTTAAACACTCAAGGGAAAATTGGTTATTTTGTTAATTTAGAATTCTAAATATTAACCAATTTGCAAAGAAACAGTGTTAAAGACTTCAAAACGATCGGTGCATAAGTTTTGAAGTTTTTTTTTAAAGAAACACATTTATGAAATATTATACAAAAATATCAATATTATAGTATATATATATAGTATAGTATATATTATAGTATATAAATATTATAGTCATTTACAAAAAAAATCCTCTTAGTTCTTGCTCTTGCGGTGCTTATTTAATTGAACCTAAAAACTCAAAATTATATATCTTTTTTTTAAACACTCAAGGGAAAATTGGTTAATTTGTTAATTTAGAATTCTAAATATTAACCAATTTGTACAGAAACAGTGTTAAAGACTTCAAAACGATCGGTGCATAAGTTTTGAAGTTTTGCGGGGCAGCAACTTTAAAAACGTAGTTTTGAAACACTAAAATAAAGCCAATCAGCTTTTAGTGGCAATTATGAATATATTGTTTGCTACCTGCATACTGCATTACTTACCGGTATTCCCGATTTCGGTTTTTCCCTCCTTTTGTAGGGCCTACCAGGCCAAGCACGCGATGCCGGAGCTGCCGGCGATCGCCGACTGCCAGCCCACGTTCAAGTACACCTGCTCCCTGTGCGCCCGCTGTGCGTACGGCAGGATCGACTTGCCGAAGGAGCAGCTGCGCTGTCATTACTGCCAGTTTGAGGTGGGCGTCAAGAAGTACTGCCAAGCGGACTTGTTCACCGGATCGCGACCAGATCCGACGATGACTCCGTTCAGGAACTTCGTGCGCGAGCATTACTTGAAGCTGGGCGAGATGGGTGGCACCACGCACAGCACCAAAATGCGACTGCTCAATGAGCAGTACTCGAAGGTCCATGTCCATCCGGTCCATCCGACCTGTTGCTAGAGCACCTTTGTTACGTTTGAACTTGTATATTTTATATTAAGTCCCCTAAGGAATGCTGGCGGCAAATGTTACATATTATTTACTACAAGCTGTATTACATCCGTACTACGGAATTAAATTAAATTGATCTGGTGTCTAGTTTTTAAAACCAAAAATAATTGCAAGTTTTAGTTTTAATAGGAAAAACATTAAAAAAAATAATAAAACTATAGATGGTTCTTTGAATTCAACGCTACGGAATTAAATTAAATTACTCTGGTGTCTAGTTTTTAAACTATAAACTATAGATGGTGTTTTGAATTCAACGCTACCCAAAGCAAACTCAACTCCGATTGGTGAAATATACTTAGTATAAATATCTATTTATTTGTTTTTCCTCCACAACTGGATTTCCTCTAGCCTATCATACCCTTGCTGCGCTTGAATGCCGCTCCAGCTTTGCGATTGTGGTTGGCACGCGACGATTTGTGGGCCTCCTTCTGGCCGCGGTTGCGTTGCGTCTGCTGCGACTGGCCCTGGCCCTTGGGTGCTCCCACTACAGCAGCAGCAGCACCTCCGCCTCCTCCTCCTCCTCCACCATTTCTTTGTCCGTACTTGGCCATCTGGCGTTGCTGGTAACGAGCGCGTATCACCTCCGGATTTTCGCAAAAGTCCCGACCGTTGCGCTTGGCCGTCTCCGCCTCGGATCCGCTGCCGGAGCTCTCCTCGTCGTCGTCGTCGTCCTCCACCTGATCCTGGGCCTCGTAGGCAGAGTTGGAGGCGGCTCCCTGGAGCCTGGCCCGCAGCAGGCTCACCGGCGGCGCCTGACCCTCGTTCAGGGCCTCGTAGCTGTCGTCGTACTCGTCGTCATATTCGCCGCTCTCCAGCGGCGTCTCCTCCACCATGGCATACTGCTGGTAGCGCTCCTTCAGCTGCTCCAGGTCGCGCTTGTCGTCCAGCAGCTGCTCCGCATTGCGCGGCGCTCCGGGCAGGCCCTTGCCCTGCTTTATGATGCACTCCGGCTGGTCGCGCGTCAGCACATCGTAGCGATCGCCGTCGTGGACATTGAAGTGGCGCACGCCCGTGCGACGCTGTAGCTTGTCCTGCGGATCGGGCGGCACGTACACCTCCTGCCGGTCCATCTGGGCCAGATCCGGCGGCAGGTTGTCGTCCAGAATGGCGGCAATGGCCTGCTCGCTGTTCTCGTAGCGGGTGAGCAGGCGCCGGATGAAGCCCCTGCCCAGATCGGGCAGCACGTCCAGCACGGCGGTCACCTCCAGGTCGAGGTCCCTGGCGGCTCCGTTGGCCGCCGTCGTCGTCGTCGTCGTCATCGTCGGCAGTGGTGAGGTGCGCGAGGAGTCCTCGTCATCGAACTCGTCGTCCTCCTCCTCGGTGTCCACCAGGTTGTCCAGGGCCATGTCGTCGGCCATGATGCCGCCGGGACAGCTGCTCAGCGCCTTCTGGTAACCGGCTATCACAAAGTCCACCTTGTAGTTCTTGCTGCCGAAGAGCCGAAGATGCACGGGTTACATTTTCTCATCAATCTTTTATCCGCTATCAGCTATCAGCTCACATAACTATCAACTATCAACTCACATATTCGGGCAGCGTTGCAGTAGCATCGCCATGTCGTGCTCCAGCGGATACTGCCGCTGGTAGTCCACCACGAAGGTCTGGGCGGAGAGGCACTCCTGCAGCAGTTCCACCAGCTGCTGGCCGCGTCCCGCCTCCATTTGCAGGCTGACCAGGCGACGGACGACGCTGAGGAACTGCTGGCGCGTCTCGTTCAGCCAGCGCAGCGAGCTGGCCCCCGGATTGACCATGTAGATGTTCTTGTACAGCATGGGCACCGTCATGTCATAGAAATTGGCAATGCTGCGAAACCGAAAGAGATGCCAAATTCAATTCAATTCAATTCAATTCAAACTCACAGCTGGCAGCGGCGAACGCAACTCACCTCTGAGCCAAACGCAGTTGCTCGATGGTCTCCAGCAGCTCGGGACAGAGAAGCAGCAGCAGACGCAGCGTGTAGGCGCAGTCCATGGCGAAGAGCACTACGTCGTCGTAGGGCGTCTCCAGGTCCGCATCCAGGGGCGCCCCGCCGCCGGCGCCCTCACAGCCCTCGTTCTCCACCTGGATCTGCATGCTGAGGAAGGCGCTCTCGTAGAAGGCCAGCGCCTCGTTCAGATCCTTGCGGTACTCGGGCTGCTGGCGCAGCACCTTCTCGAAGATCTGGCGCAGCAGCTCCACATTGGCGGGCTCCGCATCGCCCACGGCAATGAGCAGATCGAAGAGCATGGGCACCGACACCAGGTAGTTGGTGTACAGCAGGCTGCTGTGCTGCTGCGGGCTGATCCACTCCGTGTCCGACTCCTCGGCGGTGCACAGCCGCATCACCAGGCGGACGACGAGATCGAGCAGCTGGCCGTACAGCAGGTGGGCCTGCTCCAGCTCCTTGTCCCGGCCGGACGACTCCGCCTCCGATTGTTGTCTGTAGTAGGGATTGGCGCGTTGCAGGAATGTGACAATGGCCGCCATGGCCGACTCCTCGTAGACCATGTAGGACCAGAACTCGTGCTGTCTGAGGCTCAGCAGGAACTCCATGTCCTGGCGACAGTTGTTGGCCGCAAAGCTCCACTCCTCCAGCGCTGCTCCGGATTTCAGGCGACCGTAGGAGCTCATCTGGCACAGGTAGCTGCCGAAGGGCTTCTCGCGACGCACCCAATGCTCGTCCTGTCGGGAAATGCATTAATATATGTATCGGCGACAAGACCATGGTGACCACCTACCAGTGCCGGAACATGCCTGCGCACCCCATCCTTTCCAGAAAGCGCAAACTTCAAGTCGCCCAGTGGCAGTTTCAGTGGGTTGCAGTTGTTGTTGTTGCTGGTGTCGTTGTCCAGCATGTTCGCTAACTTAACTTAACTAAACCATTAACTATGCGGATTGGTCTAATGGAACGTGCACTCTTGCAATATTGAATTTCATGCGAATTGTTGAGAAAACGGCAGCGCAAGGTGGCCACACTTCGGTGGGGTGACGCACGAAACTCCAATCTGTGACGTCGAATGTTGGGAAGAGAGTTGCCAGATAAATTAGCGATTAAAAAGCTCTTTCTAGCGTTAAAAAAGCCAAAGTGTATAAGAAATTTAATTCATTTTCTGTTACGTTTTTGAGTTTTTGGAAAAAGTATCGCATACTTATAATAAACTACTACTTTGGAGAAATTGGGTCGACATAAAAAATTCATTATATACTTATTATTTTAGTACATCATTTATTATTTACTTATTATGACTATAAGGCCAATTCATTTATTATTTAAATAATAGCAACAACTTTTTTCACAACTTTATCATGGTCAATTAATATTTAAATTAAACACTTTAGAATTCAAAACCTTCAATTAAAATAAAAAGGTGTACAATAATTAATATTAATGCAGCTTAAACATTTAAAGTTTTAGTTGCATTTTATTTTTTGCAACTATTTGCTGTTCCATTTAATTAAAGTTTTTATATATTTATATATTCTGCAGAATGCAACTTTTAAGTTTAACTTTTGTAAATTTATATATTTACATAAGGAGACTTGTTAACAAAAAAGAAAATCCAAAAACCATAAATGCAGTTTTCAATGCAAAAAATTTCAAATTGTCACACATTATTTTTGAAGATTAATGTAGATTATAGATTGAAGGAATTGTTTGGCTGGTGGCTAAAGCTGGTGACCTTCTTTCGTTTGACTAAAGTGCTGCGAGTCAATTCCTTTGAACTGCGTCGTTTCTGAGAGGTTTGCGAGTTTGCACGATCAGGAGTGGAAGATGTGGGTTTCTGCGATGTCACGACGCGGTTAATCTTGGCCTGAGCAATCCTAAGGGGAATGGACAATAATAATTTAGTTAGTTAGTTTAAAGCCTCAGTTGTTCTGTCCAGTTTATAAATAACAAATCAATTTAAATCGTTAATAAGACTTTCAGGTGAGTGAAGTCGCTAGCGTATAATATAAACCTTTGCCTTTCCGCCTTTTCATTAGCCAATTGCACTTTCAATTGCCGTGTCCGCTCAGTCATCCTTTTGCGCTCCACGCGCAGCATCTGATACTCCAGGTAGCGTTTCTGGCACACGGATTTCACCAGTTCAATGTCCTTGAGCACTTTGTCCATTTCATTTTCCTGCAAAAACAATTTAACAATTTAAACAGTTTAAGTTAATTAAGAGCCTTAAAAAACACATCTAAAAAATGCTTAGATATTCCTAGTTAGTTTATAAATATTTGAAGAGACTTGTAGGTCGTGTAGATCCTCGTGTTTATCCTTGAAGATGACAAATTATTTTATATTTCAACTTGATGTGTTCTGGCGAAATAATTAATTAATAATTTAAGGAGTGGACGTGATACAACTCGAATCCTCTGATGATGGAAAATCGTTTGTATGTGCATGGCAACCCTAAAAATACTTGAGAGATATTTCCAGATCCTTCAATCGCACCTTCTTTTCCTTGTGCTTGTCCAAGTGGCGGTGGTTGGCCCGCTGGAACGTCTCGAGGAAGTCGTTGGTCAGGGCGTAGGGCTCCGGGTGGAAGAAGTTCTTGAAGTTGGTGGGCATGGCGTTGTTCACCTGGCGGCCACGGACGCTCCGCTTGCAGACGGGGCACGTGTAGATGGAGGCGTCGCTGGGCGTGCGTCCTGCGGCGACCTTGACGCACCGCTCGCAAGACACGTGGTGGCAGGCGAGCAGGAAGAATATGAACTTCTTTTTGCAAAACAGCTCGCAGCAGGAGTTGCAGTGGATCCACAGCTTGTGGGCTTCGGTTTCGCCAATTTGCGGAGCATTGGAGGTGGAGGCGGAGGTGTCCTCCTGATCGTCTTTAACTTCGCAAACGGGTCTCGTCTTGAACATCCCGTGGTTTTTGTGGTTTTCAGGTTAAGTCCAAGTAATTACGCCGCAAACAAAATTCACTCTCTTCTTTGCCACAGGATCTTTAAGTCAAGCTGGCAACTCCGGCATCTTAATACCGCAAGAATAGCTTTTTTTCCCCCCAATTGGCAACGCCCCGGATAACGGCGAATGCAATACCAAACATTTATTAAAAAAGAAACTAAATTCACAATCAAAACACAAATTTGCAATTAAATAAAATGAGAACTCAAGTTCTAGTGGCGACGCATGCGCTCGATGGGTTCCCTGGGCCGGATGCGGTACCGCTTCGAGGAGCTGGACGGCGACAACGGGCTGCAGTACTGGTTGTCCAGCGTTTGGGTGCGCTTCCGCTTGAGGGTCTGGTTGTCCTCCATGGAGTACTCCTTGGCGCTGGGACGCACCAGGGAGCCGGCGATGGAGGCGCACCGGCGGATGAGGGATCCCGAGCCAGCGTTCTCCTTGTTATCCTGATCCTTGTCCTTATCCCTGTCCATTTCGCTGCGCAGGCTGGCCGGCAGCCGCATCATGGAGCTCATCAAGGACCACAGGCGACCGGAGGAGGCACCCTCCTGTTTCTTGTCATTTCGCGTGGAGGCGTTCGTGGGCCGGAACACCTCGTCCTCCTCATCCTCCTCCCCTTCCTCCTCCGGTCCACATCCCACATCCTGCACGCCGCTAAAGACTCTCTTCTGCCGGCATTCCCGCAACGGAGGACGTGCCCTGGGGCGCTGCGCTGGCGGGGAGATCAGGGCCAGAGCCTGCTTCAGCTCCTGCTCCTTGGACTTGTCCTTCTTGGGCGAAAACTGATCGCTCAGCTGGCGCGGCACAATCGCCTGGCGACGCCGCTCTGGGCGTTCCGGCGACCCAGGTTCCGGAGTGAAGAACTGATCCTTGGTGTCGTCACCCTCGCCATCGCCGTCGCCCTCGCCACTGAGCACCAGCTCCTGGCAGCTCTTCGTCGGCGTCTCGAACTTGATCTGCTTCTTGTTGATCGGAGCGCCGCCAGTGACACGAATGGGCGTGATGGCCGGCACATGGACCTCGGCCGATTCCGAGGAGGAGCGTATGATCTCCACACTCTCGCAGGAGTTGAACACCGTGGAGAAGCTCTCCCGCGAGTTGGAGTTCATGCGGGTGATGACGATCGATTCGGTGGTGAGTTTCTGGGCGGACAGCAAGAAGGGCCGCTGGTAGAGATCAGGATTTTGCGTGGAGGAGCCGCTGACCTCCGAGCTACTCGACTCGCTCTGGGTGCGCCGCACCACTGGCGAGAGTCGCAGGTCCAGAGCGGCGGATCCGGATCCGGCCGCCTCGGTCGAGTTGTGCTCGCTGAGATCGAGGCGCACGCGACGCTGGATAACGCCGGATGCGGGCTGGTGGACCAGCATGCCGCCATGCTCCACGAAGGCCTTCTGGATGCTCTTCGACATGACCTGGCGCAGTGGCGTGGCGGCGCTCATCTTGTTGCGGGCGCCCATCTTCCAGTTGCGCTGATGCAACGGCTGCTGCTGGACGGGATTGCTGTCCACAGCTGGACTGGGCTCCTCCTGGTAGATGCTGGACACATGGCCGCCATTGGAGGCATTGAAGGTGATCGGCTCCTTGGGCTTGGCGAACACCGATTCCACCTGCAGCGGCGTTGATGTCGATCGTATGACCTTCCCCTTCTCCACAGTTTCCGGCGGGTTGTTCACGCCCAGGTGGCCAATGGAGCGGCGTATGGAGCTGTTGCTGATCGACGACAGGTTGCGGATGGAGGACACGCTGTCGCTGATGAACTCCTCGTGGGCGATGCGACTCTTGGCCTTCCAGCGCATGTTGATCAGCGAAATGGGCGTTACGACCGGCGACGTTTGCGTGGAGATGGCGGTGCTGTTGCATGCCTTGCGCACCGTCACCTTCGATGTTTCCGTGTCGCCGGTGATATCATTGCCGCTGCCGATGCCCGTGCCCATGTCCGTGCCCGTGCCCGTGCAGTTCTGCTGCTGATCCACACACTTGCTGAACTCGCGCAGATCGTCGACGCGCGTGTAGTTGCGCTGGCACTTGCGGCACCTCAACGGCAGGTGGCACGCCTCGATGTGGGCCAACAGCTCGCCGTGCATCTCCTCGCGGAGCAGCAGTGGCCGGCGCTCGCAAATCGGGCAGAACACGTAGATGGTGGTCGCTCCGGACTCCATTTGCTGGCGGTGCTCGGTGACGCCGCCGCCGGTGGCCCTCAATCCCAATGGTTCGCGCACGGCAATGGCGTGCGCTTTGAACAGATGCTTCTGGCGGCATTTGCCGCAACAGAAGACGCGCTTACAAAAGTGACACTTGCCCTGGAAAACGGAGAGCAATCATTAAGGTACATGGACACACGGATGTTCGGACGGATGCACTACCTCGTCGGGCTGTCGCATGGTTAAGACATTGGAAAAAGACATCAAATGCGGAAACTGCGATTCTTACACACGTATGCAGATATGGACACACACTCTCACGAAAATGCAACGGTTCTTTGGATAGATATGGTAAATATAGTGCTATAAATTGGTATTGCTTATATCGATTGGTATTTTTGCATTTAAACTCAAGACTTGTTTTAAATTTATAGCTATGTTTTGAAGACTTACCATTCAACCCAAACTAATCCCAATAATTAAGTGATTTTCCCAATGTTATGATTGTAATATTAACCTCTATCTTTCAAGATTCCAAAGGTTGAACTTTTTGAGTTACCTTCTTTTATTATAAGCAAACATTCATTACAAAAAATTGAATTTAAGAAGATAAAGATCCATTACATAAGAAATACCTGTAATCAGAAAAAAATCTGGCATAAGGAAAGTCAAAGTGGTTGACTCCAAAATGTTATTATATTTAAGTTTAGGTATCATAATTAATCGAATACTACAAATCAGAAAAATAAATTTATCAGAGAAACGTATATTGATTCTCCGAGTAAAAATTGGAATAATTGCTTCACAACAAAATATTTTTAAAATGCAGGAATAATGAAATAAAATACATTTGCACAATGCAAATTGGCATAAAAATCTTAAACTAAATTTGTGGAAAGTATAGAAATACCCAAACATTGTCTTAACAATTAGAGCAACGTTCACGATTGGTGAGGTTAATTGTATAAACTTT